GAAAAGAAATGAAAGCAATCTTTTTTTTTTTTTTTTAATTTAAAGGGCTTTGTCGCTGTGCGACCACATCGCCCTGAAAGCAATCTTAGGAAAGTGATATTTTTTACAAGAAAAGATTGGATAAGAAAGTTTGACTCGAACGCCAAAAAGTTCGAAAAAACTGCTTTTAACCGATTTTATTTGTCTACTCATCATTTTAATAACAAAGCATTTTATTTATAAATTCAATAAGCGTTCTTGACAAATTCAGCGTGTGCCGAATTTTCAGACCAAAAAAATTTTTATTATTACCGATCTCAGCCTTGTTGCTACTTGGCTATTATGACAATCCTTTCAATAACCTTCAACTTGATTACCAACCGAGGCTGAACGTAATCGCCACAAAATGGTTGATAAGTACAGTATAATCCCCAGTAAATTATCTTGTCTCTAGAAGAACTTTATTAAAACCTATTTTATACTGACAGAGTGCACGACAAGAGACAATATCATTGCTTTTTGTTTTCTTGAAATTTGTTCTCTAACTTTGTAACCAACTAAGGTGAGGGAAACCAAGTATAATACATACAGGGCGCCTAAATTCCCGAAGGGGTTTTTAATCGGTCACATTTCGCCATCTATAATTTTAGTCCCGCCTAAAAACATAAAAAAAAGGTAAATAACAAGAGCAGGGAATGGTAGGGAAATGGATATTGCTTATAAAGATGAATTGGGGAGTGTTAGTAATACTTCAAGCAAGTCAAGGTCGCTGTAACTGTAATTGGCTATTACTGTAAAACCCTTCTAACCGACTCTTAACTTTATAACCGTAAAACCTTTTCTATTCATCATCATCATCATCAACAGCTTTTAACAATCCACTGCTGGCCTCTCCTTAGAAAGGAGGTTTTGGCCTACTATACCACGCTGGTAGAGGTGGCGGATGCGGGTTGGTATAGGGTTTGTTTCAAGTTTTCCTTCTCTTTGCAGTGCTGTTGTCCTGCGTAGTTTGCTCTAATAATCTGTCTGGTATCCATTTTTTTAACTTCTCTGAAGTAGAACCGTCAATTTATGTCGGGTATTGGCATCGAGCTGTACAATTTTAAAACGAAAATCAAATTTACACAAGGTGTTACATATCAATTTTGAACTTTATTTAACTTCGATAGCTATTAAACTTTTGTAGATGATGTAGTAAATATTACTTAACGTTCGTGCATAGAATAATAATATTCTTGGTTTCAAGGTCAATTTTCCAAGAATGGAATAAAAAAAATATAATACCTCGATACACAACAAAAGACATTTTTGGGCAATCGGGAACTGTTACATTCACTTCATAAATAACTATAATTATTAAGTTTTATATACTTAAGTTATTTAATTATCAAAGTTTTTAGCATTTTTATCTGTACGTTAACAAATAATAGGCAAATTTTATTTTATTTATTCAATGTTTTCCTTCCTTTCCTGAATTATTATATTAGATAAGATCTTTTTCGCCTATGTCCCAAATTTCGTTGTGTTTAAAGTCTGAGGTGTAAAGTAACAGATTCTTAAAACAACGATGTTACTTCCTTTAATTGTTTTATTTTATTCTTGCTAATTCATTTTTTGTTTCACTTTCACTCGTGTAGTTTTCACTTGGTGCATGTTGTGACACCTTAAAATGCTGTGCATTTATGCGCATGCTAGTTTTAAGTAAATTTATTGTTTCATATGCATAAGATTTAATGTAACAGCAACTGGTGGTCCTTATTAAATAAATAAATGTGAGATCTATTGTTATATTTCCATCATATACAGGATAGTATAGTGTAGTTCTTTGTGTCCGTTTCATGTATGTTTGTAAAGTCCCCCGCGACACAGGAATGTATTCCTTATTTATTTTTTATTTTTTCCTGTCGGTAACATGTCGGACTCGAACCGACTAAAACCGCACGCCGTCTCGGGTACTAATAGCCGGGGAACCAGGTATACCCTAGAAAGGAAGTCCCTGGTACAGGAATGTATTCCTAATGCGGGAGTTGTCTTTTTAAATAAAAGAAAGAAAGAAAAAGTATCTCATTTTAAATTGAGAAAAGTTGCAATACTGTTTGCTTTCATTATCGATATATTATTGTTTCATGACGAATAAGCAACATGGCGTTTTTCTCAATTCTAGCGTCACGAGGTTTTATAAGACAAAACACTTTTCGAAAAAGACAGCTTACACAGAACTATGTGCCCAAACACTATTTCACGCGCAATAAAATCAATATGGTTACGTCACGGACGGATTGAAATCTCGGTTCCTCTAATTGATTGACACTTTGTACTCTGTGGGTGGGTACTATTGTGCAGGTCTGAATTAGGTTTGCTATGTGCTCTTCAGATGTAACGCGTAAAGTTCTAATAAAAACCAATCCAATAGTTGTAACCTATACTAATATAATAAGACTTTTTTTTAAATGTTTGTTAGTTTAAAACTATAGAACTATCAGTCATATTATTGTTTTTTGGTATAGGATAGAGTATTCATCGTTAAAAGTTATACAAACGGTATATTAATAAATGAAAAGAGGTTTTAAATATCTACTCCAATAGTTAAGTGGTTTACAAGGTGCCCTACCTGTAGCATTCGTCTGTTAGACTTTCACAGTTGTTACAATGAGGTACGAGAAACGCATAAGTTATGTATATTTATTCAATATTTTTCCTCATAAAACAGGTTCTACTTTCATTTAAAGTTTGTCATTAGCCACTAAACAAACGAAAAAAAAGATAGGAGTTTTAGAGCTCTGTAGTTTCTGTGGTGGTACAAAAAAAAGATCACATCACACATCACATCAACAGCCTATACTAGTCCACTGCTGGACATAGGCCTCTCCTTGCTGCTTGTGCTGTTGTCCTGCTTAGTTTGCTCCCTTAGTCGGCTCTTACGACACCCACGGGATGAATTGGGGTGGTGACAATTTGTATTCTTAATCCGTCACCACACCGTCACCACACGTCAAAAAAAGATCATTAATACCTAAATCGCTAAAATAATTTCCCCCGCCGCGTCTGTCGTCAGAATGGATTTTACTGCGGTTTTCACCAATAGATAGAGTGAATCATAATTATTTTGTAGGTTTAGTTGTATAATTTGTTAGGGTTTTGTGGAAATCGGTGAATATATGACTATAATTATTGAAAATGTCGGTAAAAGGTTTTCAGCGAAAATAAATTTAACGCGGGTCTCACACCGATGACACTTATCCACATATTCGACGCAACAAACTAATGCGACCCCAGGACTGAAAAAACATGTAGATATAATAGGCTCTACTACCATACAAGTGCGAAGTCAGGGTGGGGCGCTTCATTTTTTTTTTCTCACACATCTCACACACGGCCGTCTGATCCCAAACTAGGCAGAGCCTATACTATGGTAACCAGACCGCTGATAAACATACTTATATATTTTTAAATACATACATATTATAGATAAATTACACCCAGACACAGAACAAATGACAGTGCTCATCACACAATATTTGTCCTGGGTGGGAATCGAACCCATGACCTCCGGCTTAGCAGTCAGGGTCACTAACCACTAGACCAACAGGCCCGTCTTCTCAAAGTGATTAGAATTTAAGGAAAATTGTTTGTTAATAATTATACAGTACGAAGTTGAACTTTTATTACGACAATGGACTGTGACCTCAACTATTATTTTTTGTATTTAGTATGTTGTGGATAAGGATAAATAGTCATTTATTTTTAAATGTTACTAGTAGTTTTAATAGTCATAATTTTAAGTACAGTACACACAGTACAGTAAATAATTCTTAGTGAAATAGAAATGCTATTTCACTAAGAATTATTTTGATAAGAATAAAATACTTAAGTTTTATAATGTTGGCAAAAACCTTAAGTTTCACTACTAAATTTAACAATTTTGGAAATTAAAATCATGACCAATGGCAACAAAAATGCTGTAACAGTGGAACAGACTCAAATCTCCTATGTTGACGAATAGATATACCTCTGTCAAATGATGTCTCCAGAAGACAATGAAAACAAAGAAGTTGAAAGAAGAATTTTGTAGCTGTAAACAAATAACAAAAGAAACTGGGGCCTAAAAGATAATATAGTTGTGCTTATCATCATTTAATTACTCACAATAAAACATTAGCCTTCAGCTTCAAGCTTGGTTAACACCCTTACAATCGTTTTCTTGGCAGGTATTGCAGTCATATAAAATGATTGAAACTCAAATCATTAAGGTTCTTGTACAAATGATTAATTATGTTAAAATGTCAGTGGGTCAATAAGAAATGGGTGAAGCCATTGTAGTGTAATGTGAGGCATAGTTTACTCATTACTCTAATTAATTAAACACAATTGTGCCAACTTAGCAAAGTCCTACATAGACAAATTACATCGGTAATTACAATTGCTAAGTAATTAGTCTAGTGACCGAACATCTGGGATCTTGTGTGACCTTTCAATAATAAATTGGTGTCAAAGGTCAATAATATTACACAAACAAGTATAATTATAGCAATCACTAAAAGCCAAGGATCAGAACTGGCTACATTTAAATTAAAAACTACTTGCCTTTTTTGGCAACACTATACCCTATTTCTGTTTCTGTACACCTGAAAATTTCATGGTAATCAGTTGAGCAGTCAAGCTAAGAAAGTTTTACAAATAAACAAACTCAATTCCATATGTTATTTTAGTTAGAATGGCATTAAAATTTCAAGCAATTCTAAATAAAAGTCATAGCTTCATACAAGTTATAATTCTTATCACTTACGCCCAGAAATTATGATAATATGAAATTCAGATGAAAATGATAAATCATTCTTTAAACACTACTTAAATATTTCATTTGATGATCAAGACAATGAAACGTTAGAAATTCTTTTAAATATTTATTCTATGGGGAAAATGTAGTTACCAACCATAAAAATATATTTTTTTAGATATTGGAATCGAATAAATTAAACCAATAAAATAAATGGTCCGAAAAACAATCAGCTGGCACTGACCTCTGCAAGGAACTTCGTTACATCGTACACTTCGTTGTGAATGATAAGCACGGCGTCATTGCGCGTGCAGCGGGCCTTTAATTCCTCGCGTGTAAATAATTTCGACTGCTGCTCCATTCTGTTTTTAATACACCGCTTTTGAAAATTCTAATACGATTGAACGTGTTGTCGAACACGATATACACTAATTACTTAAACACTAATAAGCACAATACTAACTGGGTAGCTACGTGTTAAGTGTTAACACAAACGCTACTTAACTAGAACAGAACACCGACCGAATGAAATATTTATGAACGTTTTCAAAGTAGCGAGAAATCCTCACTAACCAATATCTTTTGTTCGATTGACAGAATGACAGACAGCAAAAACTGACAGGTCATCTATAGATAGATTAGATAGATTCTGATATCTAAAGTCAGTGTTGCCAACGAAAGAAATGCAAATGAATCAGTATTACGAGGTATTACGTTCGGAAAGCTCGTTTTATCGCTTTGCGCTCTAAGGGAGAGCTCTATGGTTAAATTCTTAAATCACAATATATAAACTTAAAATTGTTTTCATTAGCATATCGATACGGGAATGTATGTTTCTAAACTTTAGAGAGTAAACGCTACATATGGATAGATTTTCCTTACCAAATGGATTGACTACAATAGACCTACTAGTTCATGTATTTTACTTAGATAAAAAATAAAAATAGCCTATCCAGGAAGATATATTTGGCCTCTTGTTACCTCTGTCCCTATAAATTAGTCAATGATAATAGCTATAATAGCACTTAAACATTTACAGTTACCGACAGAGGCACTCAGATTGACACGTCAAACCTAGATCACCTCATTTTTAGATGGGGGGTTAAAAATTAACCAGATATAACCTTATCAAACTTCTTCATAACTTTACATTTAAATTTTTTACATAAATATAAATATGGAATGTGTAAAAATAGTATTTTTTCTATGTCAAAGCATGCAATCTAATCCAAGAAATGTAACCATTAAATCTTATATAATGTTTCATTTAAATCATTCAAATTAGAATCTATTATAAGTTTTAAATTGCCTATTCTAAAACGAAAAGTTTTACTACGTAATATTTTAGTAGGCAGTAAATATTAGTAGTGTGCTGATTCATAATCTTGAATTCGGTTTCTTTTTCCACGCTTTTATTAGCTTGGCATGTATGTGTCTGTGTAACGGAATTTTTGAATGGGATTTTTCACATCCTCTCAAACGTCGGATTAAATTGAAACTTCGCACACTTATCAAGGTACAGGCTGAGAATGTTCAGATCAAAAAAAAAATTAGGCTGGTTTTTTAACGGGATAATTCTGGTAAAACCGGTAAGAAAAACCGGTTTATTAAAAAGGATTGGCTTTTTTGTTATGGAAAAACAAAAAAATAGGTTGTAGTGAGAAAAAACGAATAAAAAAGAAGAAAGACATAACACAACTCGTAGGAAATCCGTTCGGGGCTTTAATTATAGCTTTTATTATTATTCTTTTATAAAAAAATGTCGTAAAATATTATTAAGTTTTCGTACAATTTGCGAAAATGGTTGGGTGGTTCTCTAAGTTTTTTTAGTTTAGTTTAAAAACTTAAAGAAAATCGAATTTACTTTCATAATACCATCTCATTTTTAAATATGTAATAATAAATAATGACAGTACTTAATAAAAAGGGAGTGACCAACTTGTATCGATGATAAAATAATCCTTAGGGTGTATAATTTTCAATTACCCATTTCTCTGACACGGTGTGCTGCATCAAAACTATTATTAGACAAATAAATGAAAAAATACAATTTATCTCGTTGAAAAACCTGGTAGTTTTTTTTTTATATGAAGGTAGTTTGCGCCGCACATCCTATACTATTAAGGACCATAGCAATACAATAATTTAATAAATTTGTCCGATTATCCTGATCAGGTATTGACGACTTTTTTATTTATAAAAATACGGTAGTAGTCTTGTGTCACGAGTAAGGCGTGTACTGTGTGTGTGTGTGGGAATTATAGTCTATAAATGGTCTATAACGAGATAATAATCATCAATAATAACTAAAAAGGCAAAAATATATTTTACTTTAATAAAGAACACCTCATTCTGAGCCTAATGCACCTTTACGATAAGCAAAGCCTGAGTCTGTGGTCATGCGGATTTGGTCCAGAGGAGGGAATTTCTTACCGGACATTCGTACAGGCACAAAACTTTATATGTATTATTTATGTATGTAGGCGTTATTATTCTAAGGGTATGCATTGAATTTAGCAATTTTTAATCTTTTTTCATGACCAACTGCCGGCCCAGGATTGATTGCCACAACGGAGCTCCTTTGATTCGCCGCTCTGCTGTAGGTACAGTGCTTAAATTAGGTGCGTAAAGTAAAGCTCTGTACAGTGCGGCATATCAAAAGTCAACCGTACAGACATGTAACTTTACAGAGATACAGTCCGATGCAAACTTAACATCGAACACACACACACACACATCGTTGGAACATTGAAATCGAATATACAGCAGGGGGACGTAAAGGAGCGCGGGACCAAAGCGACACACGATATGCATGCCTTGCGCGCATATTCCTGTCTACGCACAGTCGAGTCGACTTGACTGTAGGTACCTGCGCACACCTCTAACTTTCGAGCCGCCATTTAGTTTGCATTAGACTACTTACCTACGCATTGAATTATGTATATATTGTATAGTCCGGCTCGACTGGATAGATTCCACGCACTAGTTTAGCACACAGAGAACTGTTTAGCAGCTATTGAGGTGCTGATTTGCTTTAGAGGTAATACAATTTACAATAGTTACCAGTCAATCTATATATTGCCTTATAAGCTTTGACTTGATGTTCTATTTCATATATTTAAGTTTTTGTTCTAATCTGTGGCTAAATGTCAAATTGTGTGATGTTACAGACCATGAAAGTCAAAGATTATCACAGAGTAGTCTGAATAATAATAGACTTGAAAGACCAAAAAAACACATTTTAACAAACTTTGAAGTAAAAATAATTAATTAATTATAATTAATAAATCACATCAACAGCCTATAATAGCCACTGCTGGACATAGACCTCTCTTTAGAAAGGAGGTTTTGGCCTACTATACCACTCTGGCCAGACGGGTTGGTAAAGGGTTTGTGTCAAGTTATCCTTCTCTTTGCAGTGCTATTGTCCTGCATAGTTTGCTCCCTTGGTCTGCTCTTACAAATGAACATGTAAATGAATAGGGGTGGTGACATTCTGTATTCTTAATAATATCTGCTTTACTAATTTATGTACTATATCTAAAGATATTAAAAACTTATACATAATAAAAAAGAATATAATTTTTAATTTTTTATCATTTTACTACATACTCAAAAAGGTAATTTACTAGTACATGAGCTGTTGCAACACCAAAACTAACCCTAACTGCTTCAAGAAAAATCTTAGCACCATGTTCGTTCTTCACATTACCATCGGCCTACTTCACAACCTGACAGTGCCAGCTTCCTGTATTTCCTTCTGCTTGTGAGTGCCATCACAGAAAGGTCTGTTCTTAGTCTGTTTACAGTTGCACAGCCAGTATTCTTTTGATTTTTCTACTGTAAATCTCACAGGTCTGGAATTACAAATGATACATAAGAGAATTAAAACCTGCAATAATGTAAACATATTTTCTATATAAAACAATAACAATGTAAAGAAATGATCTTAATCCTTAATAAGCTCTAAATACTTCTAATTGGTAAAAATTATAAAAATTTCTTTCATAATAATCAAAATTACTAATACAAGCATTGTCTGTTTACATATTAAAAGAATCTGTTAAACAAAAATTAAACTTCAACAATAGAGCTTCTCCAGCTTACTGCGAACAGTAGTCACAAAAACAAAAAAAAACATCTAAGATACCTCTCAACTTTTAATCCATAACAAAAGTACAAAAGTTATCAAGATATCTTTATGAGACAATTACCAATGTAAGATTAAAAAAACCAATTGCAAATAGAAAAAACACCTAAACTCACAACAACAATATTTATCTAGGTAATGATAAATGTGTCATATTAAGATTAAAGCCAATGCTTTGTCAATTTGAAGAAGTTTATTATTTTTAAGTATATTATATGTTTTAAATAGCCTTTAATTACCTTTGAGTGACTTTAAGGTATATATCTTTATGTGTACCATCACACAATGGTTGCGATTTAGATCTTCCACAGAGACACCAATGGTATGTCTTCCCAGCTTCCAAGTTCAACCTGAAGGGCTTTTTATCATAGACTACTCCATTCTCTTTTTGATTTGCCGCTGTATATATTGAAGACAAGGGATTCTTGGGAATCTCAGGTTTAGAAATTTTCGTTGCATAATTAGCCTGTAAAATTAGGTCAATAATATTTATTAAATATGTTGTGTACTTCTTGTTGTCTTATTCGACATGACGCAATTAAGAAATATTAGAATAGGTAAGTCACACTTTTGTTAATTAATATAATTTCCAAACAACTGTATAATATAACTCCTTGACTTTCACAGTACTAAGATAACAGTTAGTGTAAGATAAATACTTACCGAACTAACTACGTTTTTCGCAACTTTACTTAAATAACTCCTGACGAACATTATCGATGAACTTCGCGCTGTTGAACGTTTATTTGATTTGCGTTCGAAATATTTACTTACAATTGAAAATAGAACTTTTAGCTATAAACGATATGATTATAATCCAATATCCATTGACAGTTGACAGTTTTAAAGAGCATGTACTTTTGACAGCAAAATGACAAATGACATTTGTTGCTAGAGTTGGTGGCTTCCGAATGAGCGTCTGTCCACTAAAATCCATTGAAAAGATCCATGATAAATTTTTGTGCACTTTCATGTCCACTTTAATACACTTCCCAATTTTTTACGAGAAATGGATCTTTTAGGATACACAAGTCTCGAAAAATCATTTTAACTTCCTTTTTACTCGTTAAGCAAGTGATAGACATAAATACTTCAAAGCAGTACGAACTGATTTTAATTTAATAGTTACTTATCAGAATACTTCTCTGGCCCCTTATAAAATTATTAATTTCCTTAAATGAAAAAAAATGAAATGAAAAAAAAAAGAAATAATAAGGATAAATAACATAAAAAATATCACCTGTGGTGCTATGGTGAAGGCCGATGGCCACCATGCTCTGAGTTGTCGTCGTTGAACGGGGAGGTTTCAGCGACATCATGCTCTCAGTGACATAGTTTGCCCTTATATCGGCAAACATTCCTTGTGTGCTTGATCCACCGGGTCTGAGCAGATCCGATGGAAAGAGGGCGGACGGACTGACGCTGGTGCCTTTGAAGAATTTCAAGTGCCTGATCTGGGACGCCACATACGTCAGCACTGTTGCTGCCAGCCACCTGTGTCGCACCGTCCGTGCCCCGTCGGTTAAAAGTTAAAAGTACTGTAGTATAGGTAAAAAGTACTTACAGACATTTTGAGAAACATAAAAGTTGTAGTGGAAGTTAGCACAAGTTTATTTCCACGCACAGAAGGAGAAATAAGAATCACCGACATAAGCAAAATACAGGAAACAGTCAAGAGAAAATTAGATACAAAAGTCATAGATTCATACCTAAATTAACACAAAAATGTTAAACGTTTCGTAGGCAACAAAGTAGGTTTCGCGACCAAGGGCAGAACTAGACTGCTTTTTTTTCTAATTCTGTGTAGCGGCCGATGCGCTTGTACCGACTGACGGCAGAAAACAACAGGTCTCGAAGAATAGGATGTTGTCCCGTTACACTGAATGAAATGTAAATGAATATTATTGAATATACTTAAATTATTTAAATAAAGTGAAAGTATATCTTGTAGTATAGTATACGTAAATAAATGGTATATATATTATATTGTAATAATATATTGCGAATGATAATAAGAAATGGGTAATTATATTAGCTTTTCGTGCACCGTATTGGCTTACTGCCTCTAAGGATATGTAATACTTTCCCTAATAACTATGCCAGCTGGCTGATGGAAGTAAAAAAAACAATCTGTAAAAACCCCTGTGAGACTCAACTTATTGCCTTTATTTCGGGGGTTTACCACTTAGCTGGTAACACCACTGATGTCAATTTAGTCATTCTGTTTTGTACAATGTATTTTGAATGAAGTTGGCAAAGGGTATTTATTTAATAAAGTAAACAAACCCTACGAAAGAAGTGGGTACCCTTACGAGTCTAGAGACTGTGTACCTACCCACAGAGTACAGTAATACTGTACCTACCTGCCTCCTATAAATTTACATGACTCTGTGATTCCACAGAGTACGTAGATTTTATTGTAGTTTTGTTTGTCTTTCGTAACATGTTGTTTGTTATTTCATAATTATTTTATTTTATTCTCCAGGATAGAGAAAAATGGAATAGCGACTGAACAATGAAAAAAAATCTTATGAGTAATGTCTAGAATTAGAGGAATAGAAGTTAAAGTGCAGAAGGATGTGTTACAGACACGTAAATATGGCCTTAACGAAATTCTTAGAAAGAAGAATGATGATCATTCTGCAAACTCGAAAGATGATGCTGAAAGTAAGTAAAAATATGTACATTGACGTCATTTCAGTACTTTAGTTATATGTAGTGTAGTTACTCTAATATTTATTCCACACCATTTATAGGTTGTTTGCATTTCATATTACCAGTTTCATAGCACACAGTGTTGATTCTTTAAAAAAAGAACCTTGTCTTCTTGTAGAAGGTTTTTCTCTCGTATTTGCACCTAGTGACTGTATTAATTTTCTTTCAGAACGCCAAATAAAAGAGCTTCTACACAAACTGCCAGGGTTAAACAAAATATTTGAAGTTCACCGAAAGATCGGTGAGGGTACATTCAGTTCAGTGTATCTGGGTTCATTGAGACAGCATGCCACACTAAGTGATTCTGAGAAACGATGGTTTGCAATCAAACACCTCGTGCCCACTGCACATCCTGCAAGGATAGAGCATGAACTACGCTGTTTGCGAGACATTGGGTTTGTATACCATGTTAATATATTATGGGTATCACAATATGCTATCTGCCTGTAATCTGGATATTGCAACCACTGACTGCATCTTGCTCATAGAGCTAACTCTTTAATTTGTTTGATTATTAGGAAATGACTCAAAAAATATATTGACTTAAAGTAAGTTTGTTTATACTTTGAATAAAGCTGAAACATGCAAAATGTACTGACTGCAAAAAAGGTAAAAGGTTGTCAATTCAGCAGAAACTTGTAATTTATGTACCCATTAGAAAACTTATTTATTTTAATTGAAAGTGTATACTTCCTGTTTGGTTACATTTTAATTTGAATATATTTAATTACAATTCATCATGTTTTAGTTTCTTTTACTTTATTAAAAGTAAATTATTGTATAGTTTGTGTATAATAAAACATGGATCAGCTGTTCTTATTCACATTGCCTTAAGATGCACTGGTGGTGTTATTAAATCTTCGACTAGGTGAGAAAATAAATTTTCAGTTTTTTTTTTTGTTAGCGGACATTAGGGGTATATCCTGTGTCGTGGGGAACTTTACAAACATACATGAAACGGACACAAAGAACACCCAGGCTCAGAACAACAATTCGTGGATCATACAAAGCGTCGTCCCGTTCTTTGTTCTTACCACTTGGCGTAGTAAGAATCGGCGTAGCAACCGCTTAAACCACTACGCCATCCGTGAAGTCAAATGTTCTTATGCATGTAATAATATTTTTTCAGGCAGATTAGTTATTTGTTTACCTCAAATATTTAGGACATGGTTGGCTACTTTTTGTTGCAGGGGCAAGGAGAATGTGATAGGAGTGGAACTGTGCCTTCGTAATTTAGATACCATAGTATTTATTATGCCTTATATACCTCATAAGAAATTTTCTGTAAGTATCCGAATATCCGAATATTTTATGTGACATTTGTGCCCAACAAGTATATTATGGCCCATCTGATTGAAATTAGTTTTGATTGATTTACCGTTGCATTTTTTTGATTTGTGGCAGTCAATGTAATGAAATGCTGTATACAGTGAAGTTTCATATAACAGAGACTCAAGTAACAAACCAAACATGGTACTACTACGGCCAGGTACCCTACTACGATACGGCTGAACCTTGATTTTCGATTGGCGTGTAATTTACATTACAGAATGATACAGAAATTCCTGCATACAATTAAAATGATTACCATTAGTTGAGTATTGGAAATTTGAGCATTAGGGGTGTTTTGTTTATTTATTATATATCTCTTTGATTAGCATGTTTGTGTCACCAGGAGTACGTGGGAGATATGGATGCGGAAGAGTTGCGGCAGTACATGCGCGCGCTTCTGATTGCTCTGCGCCATGTTCATTCGTTTGGTGTCATACATCGTGATGTCAAGCCCAGCAACTTCCTGTATGACCGAGACAATAGAAGGTACTGCATAAATATGTTTGGGTCTTCGTTACTCACTTTATCTGTCATTAATCAGATTATTTCTGAGAAGTGCAGTGAATTAAAATTATCTTTGAAACTATTTATTATTGTCTATTTGTATTTCTCCAGCACTCAGTTGTCATCAGTCGTGGGTAGGTTTGGGTGCAAAATTATTGGATTTTAAACTTTATTCTTCTAGCGAAAGTTTGAGTTTAAAAGATTTATTCAATTGTGATGCAGTGAAGTTAAGGATTTATTATTCTTTAAGTAAGTTTATGATCTCCAGTTAGGAACTTTTGTATGGATTCGAAATGTGAATTCGCGTTTTCTATCGTAGGTATTTGTTGGTCGACTTCGGTCTCGCCCAACGTCTTTGTCCCGCCTCGGAGAGCACGTCCACGGACCGAGTGCCGCCTCCCGCGCATTCTAATGGTGCTCGCAAGCGGACCAGAGAGGAGGTACTGAATAATGAGTAATAGCTGTTTCTTATTAAGGCTTAATTATTAAGGTTCCACCCTCTGGAAATGGGCGGTTGTGGATTGGCTAAATATTATTTAGTTTGCTAAAAAATTTCATGAAATGAAGATATTTTGAGTTTATTTATTAAGAGCGGTCAGATATATCGATTATTGAAAAAAAGGAAGAGCACATCTGACATTTCACTGTTATCTGAAGGGTTATCGGTCTATAGGAAAGATATTATATGTTACACATAATTAATCATTAAAAGAGGTTCAATACAGTTACAGTATCATCAACATAACAATGTCAATTACGATTTGACTTCGCCGAATGTTATCTACGCTTACTCAATAACTAATTTGAAAGGGGATAATAACAACATACTAATGTAGGAGGAGATCGCATCGAGCGCCAAGCGCCTGGCGCTGGACTTGAGCGGCGGTCGGCAGGCCGGGCCGGTGGCGGTGGCGGCCGGGCCGGGGGCGGTGGCGGCCGGGCCGGGGGCGGTGGCGGCCGGGCCGGGGGCGGTGGCGGGCTCGCCCCGGCGCCAGGCGGCGGCGCGCTGCGCATGCGCCGGCGCGGCGGCCGTGTGCGCGGCGTGCAGCGCTCGCCCCGCGCCGAGGGCGCCTCGCGCCGGCACGCAGGGGTTCCGCCCTCCCGAGGTTAGACTTGTCGACGAGCACTTAGGTGTATGGACACTTTTGTAGTGTACGACAGGATAACACTTCAGTCTCGGGTGTCCGGCAGGTGTTGCTGAAGTACCCCCACCAGACGACAGCGGTAGACGTGTGGGCGTGCGGCATCGTGCTAGCGAGCGCGCTGACGGGGCGATACCCGTTCTTCCGCGCCGGAGATGACGTGGCGGCGCTGGCCGAGCTCGCCGACCTCCTGGGCACCGGGGCCCTGCAGTACGTCGCCGAGGCTCTCGGTACGTGACTTGAACTAAAGCTTGTAACTTAAAGTAGATTACTACGTTTTGTATTATAAGTTATACTAATATTATAAAGCTGAAGAGTTTGTTTGTTTGTTTGTTTGTTTGTTTGTTTGAACGCGCTAATCTCAGGAACTACTGGTCCGATTTGAAAAATTCTTTCAGTGTTAGATAGCCCATTTATCGAGGAAGGCTATAGGCTATATATCATCACGCTAAGACTAATAGGAGCGGAGCACCAATGAAGAATGTTTCAAAAAACGGAGAAAATTTATTACTATTGAGAGACGCAGACGAAGTTGCGCGGGTCAGCTAGTAAGTTATAATAGCGATCCGCCCTGGCTTCGCACGGGTGCAATGTAGATACTACTGATGTGGTGTCAGTGTGGACTTATTAATTATTCTATTATATTATATTATGATAAGACTATACTAAAAGTCTTTTTTTTTTAAATCTCGTAATGTTTAGGCGGCGTTTGCAATGTATTCGCATAAAAACATATTTTTTACAACTTCACATTACAAATCTTAGAAATTCTCGAATTTCCTCTACTATAATATTATTATTATTATTATTATTATTATATTTAATACACTAGCAGCTTAAGGCTGATGCGTGTATATCATTACACTTGTGCATTTAAATGTTTATCAAGTCTATTTTTAAAAATGTTAATACTCTGGGCACCTTTCACAGTTTCCGGCAAAGAGTTCCACATATGCACTACTCGGTTAGGCAAAAAATGTTTTCTTGGATTACTAGTACACAGGTGCTTGCTGAGCTTCATAGAATGACCCCTTAGCTGCTTGTTCAGGTTCATTGTGAACATAGATTCAATATCTCTCACGTTGTAATGGTGGTTGAGTATTTTGTAGGTTTCTATGAGGTCTCCTCTCATTCTCCTCTGTTCCAGTGTTGGCAATTTGAGTTCCAAGAGGCGTTCTTCATATGATACGTTTTTTAAAGAGAAAACCATTTTGGTTGTCCTTCTTTGTACCCTTTCCAACATCTCAATGTCCTTTTTGAAATATGGATTCCATATTTGGAAGGCGAATTCTAGCAGAGGTCTTATGTATGTTAAGTAGATGTTAAGAAACAGCTCCTTGGTAATAACATAGAATGCCTTTCTTATCATGTACAGCAATGAATTCGCCCTTTTTGTTATCATTGTGATGTGTTCATCCCATTTAAGGTTATGTGTTATGATAACTCCAAGGTCCCTTTGTGAGTTTACTACTTTCAATGGCACAGAATCCATTGTGTACTTGTATTTAGGGTTATTATTACCGATATGTAGTACAGTACACTTAGTCTCATTGAGTGAAATCATCCATTCTCTTGTCCACTCCATAATACGGTCCAGGTCTTGCTGAATTATATTGTGAGAAATTAGGGGGTTTCCCATAATTTTGGTATCGTCTGCGAATACTGACAAGTTAGAGTGAACGACATTTTTCAAATCCGTTATAAACAGCACAAACAGGATCGGTCCAAGCACTGAGCCTTGAGGCACACCACTGTGTACGTTATGAGTGTCTGATAGTGTTTCACCTACTCTTACTTTGAATTTTCTGTTGCTTAGGAAATCCTCTATCCATTTCAAGAGTTGCCCACGAATTCCAAGGTGTTCAAGTTTGGTTGTAAGCCCTCTAATAGGTACCCGATCAAAGGCTTTTTCATAATCCAAGTAAATAACATCAATGGGCTGATGGTTGTCCCAGTGGTTTGTCCATTTGTCCAAGCTCACAAGGAGATTCGAGACTGTAGACCTTTTAGGAACAAAACCATGCTGTTCATCGATAATGATGTTTTCCCTATTAATGAAAGTTCTAAGTTCACTAACTATAATTTTCTCCATCGTTCTACAGACAATGATCGTGAGGCTGATTGGCCGATAATTAGCGGCCAGGTGTTTATCACCCTTTTTATAAATTGGGGTAACATGGGCTACTTTCCACTCTTGAGGTAGTTTCCCATTTTGCATTGATAGGTTCATAATGGGTGCCAGCTGGGAACTAAGAACATCGCTGCATTGTTTCAATAAAATTGAAGGTAGAGCATCCGGTCCCATCGAAGTAGAATCACTAAATGTTTTTAAGGCCTTACTCACTTTGTCTGATGTGAATATGAGTGACCGAATAGAATTTTCAACTCGAGGAATCTTTATGCTTGGGACATGCAAATAAGCTGGCTTCACAACAAAGGATGTTTCAAATTGTAGGGCGAACAAGTCTGCAACTGTTTTTGGATCACTGGTAATATTCCCTCTTGCATCCTTCAATGATGGTGGCACACATACCGTTGAAGATAGTTGCTGGCGCATATAAGAATAGAATGATTTCGGTCCGGACTTTACAATTCCTTTCTCAAATTCCATTCTTAGGTTTCTGACAATGGTGGTTAGTTCATTGTTTGCTTTCCTGTATTTTTTGTATAATTCATTAGAACCACTCAAAGTATACTGTCTCCATAGTCGTTTTTTGTTCTCTGCCAAATCTAGAACTTTATAATTGATCCACGGTTTATTAATGTTGCAAATCCTACGTGTCTTTTTCAGTGGTATGTGAGTTTCAATGACATTGTGTGTTTTCCTTGTAAACTCTGTCCAGGCAACCTCAACATCACTGGCATTTGTATCTTCAATGTTATTGTCGGCTAGCGTTTGGGCTATGTTCTCATAATTAGCTTTGAAGTAATTCCTCCGTGGTTGTTGAGTAGCAATTTTGCTAGTTGATTGGGTTCTGATTTGTGCTGTCCCTACCAGTACTTGATGGTCACTGTTCCCTATGTTGGGGTGGTGTTCCACTTTTGTGCAGAAGTTTTCTTCATTACATAGTATTAAATCCAGTAGTGATTCCTCATTATTTCTCTTTCTAGTTATACTTGTAACAAGTTGGTTTAAGTTACTGTTTACATACATGTCTACAAATTGACCATGAAGCAAAGTGTATTTGTTCGCATCAACGTTGTACAGTGGCCATCTTAAATCTGGTAGGTTAAAATCACCCATAATTAGCAAGGTATTATTACCTTCTGAAGCTTGTTTAATAGTATCAAACAGTAGCTTGTCCGACTCATCAAGGGTATAATGGGTTGGCCTATAGACACCAGCAAGCAACAATTTAAAATCTCCATGTTTTATGTTTAACCATAGCGCCTCAACCTGTGTAATATTAAAAGTAGGATGTAGGTTCACCTGAATGGGTGTATTGTTTAGTAAGAGTGACACATAGATTGCCACACCTCCCCATCCTGTCCCTTTAGCTCGGTCATGTCTAAATAAAGTGTAGCCTTTGATATCCACTAAGGCATTACCTATAGTGGGTTTTAAATGTGTCTCTGTTATTATAATAAAAGTTGGTTTCAATTTATTTACCTCTACAATGAGCAAATCTCGTTTAGCCATAATCGAAGCTAGGTTTGTATAGAAGAATGTGATCTCCAAAATACCCACATCAGCATTTATAGCTTTTTTCCGCTGACTATTTTAGGGGTACCATGTATATATTTTATGGTTAGGTCTGTTTCACCATTGTCGAGTCTTTCTTTTAGCTCTGCCCGTAGTTTTTGTAAATATTCACGCTGATAGGGTGTTAAATCATTCTTGGCTGATACCTTGGATGGAAGTTTTGTACGGTTTTTTAACACATTCACAGCTGGCTTTTTATTGGAAAATATGACCTTGATTGGGCGCGGCGAAGACTGTTTTCGTTTACCGAGACGAAATACGGCGACCGGAGGCTCCGAATCCGGGACATTTGCCAAGGCTTGTTGAATCTGCTCCTTATCGTAATCAATACGTACCTCTTTGTCCCGCTCAGAGTCACCTGTTTGTAGCTGACACTCATCAATCCCGAATAGTATAATATTCGCACTTCGTTTTTTTCTCTCCGCCAATTCTCCTAGAATACTCTCCATACATGTCGTTTGGCTTTCTTTGGCTTTTAACGCTTCGATTTCATTTTTTAATTGAGAGACTGTGTTTCTCAAGGCCGGCAACTGGCGCACTCCGAGTTCACAGTCAGGGCACAAGTACTTCAAAGTCGGAGATTGAAGTACAATCACTCTCAACTCTGTGGCTAGCAATCCACTACATTTCACACATATTTGCCTCTTGCAACCGTGGCATTGAATTTTAGGGTTTTTATCATCAATTTTAGGCACTTCTTTATCACATTTGAGGCAAACAGGCATTTTTGTTGCAAATTTTTATGGTCGTAGCACTAAGGTTAAATTTTTTGTTTATTTAGTGTAAAGTTTTACGGAATAACACTTTCACCACTACTTTAGCTTGTAAGGAACACTAAGTCACAGTTTTCGTCTATAGTTATCTTAATAAACAATTAAAAACTTAAACTTTCACAGAACGTTCGTAAAACACAAGTGCTCTTTTTAAGTGGAGGTAGGCGAAAAACATGTGTATGCATGTATTAAGGTGGCACCTGTATTAAAATCCATTAAGTACCTAATTTTAAAGGTCTAAGCGTACAAGAAAAAAAGCGCCTTCATTTTATATCATGTAAAAATATATATCTTAATATCCAGTGATGTCGTAGTCACAACTTTTTTTATGAGATAACTTTTCTCATAAAAAAAGTTGTAACTACGACATCACTGGATATTAAGATATATATTTAAACACCGATTACGATAAACACATCAAGCAAATACCACAATAATAAAACACTTATGTCCTACAGCGCCAGTCGTCCGCTGCTACGTGGTTAAAAAGTACGCCACCAAATAGAACGATCTAAAACAGCCAAACATACTTCATTTAAATAAATACGTCAATAAAAAAATCTTACTAGTTGTAGATTAATTATTATTTGTAGTGGTTTTAAATTTTAGGTACGTGCTACGTACTATTAATAATTATACGTATTCTGTTCATTACCAGTAGACATTGAATTTATTGCTACAGTTAAATCATATTCATATGAAGATTTCACCTGTGATTTGGTCATAGACAAAGATAAACGCCATCAAAATTCTGTTTAACAAAGATTACAACTTTTTTTTTTAGACTTTAAAATTGTCGCAGTGGTTTTGTAAATTAGTCACAGGTGTGATTATAAAATCATTTTAGTCCATCCCTTATTTCCAGCTTACAGATATACTTCGATCACAAGAAACGAAGGACTCGTATTAACTTTGGTTCGAATTAGTATTGGATTCGCACTCAATTATGATAAAATTATACTGTGTGTTCTATGATTACACATTTATTGTGTAGGTCGTCGTGTGGTGACATCGCTGTCCCGCCGCGGGCTCTGTCTGCGAAAGCTGGCGGCGCACCTGCGGGGCGGGGGAGGGGGCGGGGCAGGGGGCGGGGGGGCCAGCCGAGAGCCGTGCAGGCGCTGCCGTTTGCCCCAGAACCAGTGCCTTTGTCGGGACGAAACTAAAAATGTAAATCTTCTTCGCCTAAAAGTAGTACTAATACATTTAATTTTAATTCATCCGACTCATATATGTATGTTTCCAGGCGGACGAATTCGACCCGACGGTGTTCGTGGCCGGTTTCCCGGACTCGGCGTTCGCGCTGGCGGCTCGGCTGCTGGACCCCAACCCGCGCACGCGCATCTCTGCGGCGGCCGCCCTGGACCACCCCTTCCTCGCCGAGGAGCCCGCGCCGCTCTGACGACACCATCCCATCATTCGGTATTACGACCGTGTATGCTGGTTAAACATCATTTTTTTACTAATTCTTCTGTTTAGTATTAATTCATCTTAACGATAACAAGCCGAGAGTCGATTTATTAGTATATATTAATCTTTAGGTGATATTAAAACCACTTGCCAAATATGTATCTTAAGTGGACAGATCATCAATTATCTCATTTTCTCGCACGTTTTGGTGATGAATTGTGGCGTTCTCCAGTTGACTTTTAGTATACATTTGAAGAATTTTATAAGATTTATATTTTTTTTACTATAAAAACGAATATCTGTTTTGCGATATTTCCTGCAAAAAGTCGGTATATAGTGCATTACATCTTTATTTGCACTACCAATTTTCTCATCGACTCCTTTTAATATCCATTAACCTTTTTTGTTTAATGTGCTAAAACTGACTACGACACAAAATTCTTCTTTTTGACCGTAGATCAACATACAATTGTAAATACCATTTAATTATAATCTGTCTAAAGAATATGAACCGCAACATACTGTTTACAACAGAACGCATTTTATTGAGGTAGATTATTGTTATTTTTTTAATATCTCTGAGATATAAAATGAATTTAATTGCACGAAGAAATCTGTGGTCCCTCGACGCGTTAAATGTGTTCCCTGCCTTAATCTTCTAACCTAATCTATCTATCTAATAATTTTCGATTTACAATTTTTCGACGGCTTACAATTTCGCAATGTGTTACCTCCTCCTTTGATTTACGCAAACAAGATGCATAAAAGTGTGGTTAAAGAGTAAAGATTCGAAAATACTCATGATATAATACAGCCACTATTTGATAATAAAAGTTAAATTAAATGTGTTCAAGTGTGTCATGTTACACTAAATGACGACTTCGCCAAGACACACGACGGCTGCGAACCTATATTTAGGTATATATAAACATTTACCTGTTGTATTGATGACAATACAGAGAGAGTACTTACTTTAGGTGCTATTGCATATCAGTAGTTTATTATAAAAAATTGACGTGAAAAAAAACACGTCAGTTTATCTTGGAAAACGTATAATTTTATAGAACAGAGTTTTGTAACTCAGTAGAGTGATTTACCTACTTTTATTGACTCATTCTCTGTTAAATAATAAACTTAAATCTTGATTTAAAAGCAAAGTATTATGTTCTATATGGCATCTATAATGTCATTTGAATACACAACATAGCACTCGATCCTTATTGCTGTCGCAATTGTATTTAGTTTAAAAGCTTTTACTAACCAATATCATTTTCAAACTCTCGGTAAAAAAATCCCACCAAATCTCATTAAGTCGCTACGTGATTAAAGGGTCCAAGCGGCTTACGTAATTAATGGGTGACCCCTAATGTAGTCTTGCGTGTGATTGCATAAACTCTGCCTAATTGCCTTATATGATATATACCTTAGATCATTTATATGCCTCGATGGAGTGTCTCACTAGAAAACAAATCTGGCCAACTTTATATTGCTGGTATGCTTATTGTGACAGAGACTAGTGATGGGTTAAATAGTCTTCACACTCATATTTAATGGTGAATTCTTAACTAGCAGTTTGCAAATGAAATGTCTTCCTGAATTTTCGCGATCGTATGGATTAATACGAAATTCCGTCGCTTTACATTCATATAGCGCGTGCTTTCTCATTCGAATTGACGCGAAGACTAAATTTAATTTAATAAATCGTCATGCTAAAATGTTAATGCAACTGCTAATGCTAAATTGCTAAGTACCTATTTCGCTCGGAACGGCAACCGAGCGCGGCGCGATTGATGCTACTTTTGAGAGTGCAAAGGATTTTACTGTCCATTTTAAAGGAAATACACGTATTTAGGATTTTTTTAAATATCATTTTTTGAATTTTTCATTACCGAATATTTAATTTTGTTTATTACGACAGCATTAGCAAGTGGCCGGGAGATTAGGTATTGTTTTGAATGACTTTGTTTTCCCGTTAGTGTTTTGTTAAATTGTTTATAGAATTGGTACCTATATAGTATTGGTTAATAAAAGGGTTAATTATAGAGTAGGTATAAATAATTTAAATTTGAAGAGTGTGACGTGTCCGTTCTAAATAGATATTTTGTGAATAGATAGGGATATTTATTGTAAATAAACATTGTTAAGCGACTAAGGCTAGCATATCGCGAACAAACCCTATATTACACTATTTTTGTAATCATATTGGAGAAAATAGTGTCTAGCCACTTTGGATAGCGAAAATCGCGGTGAAGTGTGGTTGGACACTGAAATTGAAGGCAGTGAAATTATAATAAAAATAAGTTATTTATATGAAATTATTAGTTTGTGATATACCTATAAGTTACGAACCTTTTTCATTTACTCTCTTACGAAATTGCAATATTAGCATATAATATTAGCATTAGCAATTAACATGCTCAGACATAAGAAATCGCAATTAATAAAATCTAATTAGCATTAACGCCCTAACAGAGACACAGACTAATAAGCGGAGTAGCAGTAGAATACTAATTATGCTTGTAAAAGCTAATAATTTACGAAAATTTCGCAAGTCTGCATTAAAATTATTCTCTACCACAGCTCAATCCTAATTGACAGCCTCCGGATACAAGACAATGGCAAAATTATGGTTGCACAATAAAGCCATCGAAGAAAACTTGACGTGTTAAAAAAAAAACACAGCTTTGACAGTCTACCTAGACATATCAATAATCTAAGATATAAACCTACATTCAGATTGTACAAGAATTTGTATTATTGTAGACTTATATTTAGAATTGTAGTTGACAAACCAGTAATATAGTGCCTTATACTGTTGACTAATCTTTATTTGAATGGCTGTGAATTCGAGTCCTCAGAAAGTAAGGGAACGTACTCATACTACGTGACACATTCAGGGGAGAGGGTATTCAAAACATCACTACGTAAAAAATAGAGGGAAGGGAAGGCATATACTATGCCTAGTTACCTTGGCTAAAATGGGTCACGTACTATGCAGACGTTCCCTAATGCCTGGTCAGTTGACAAGGCTAAATATACTGCCAAATAAATTACGCATTAAGAATGTTTTATGTCAATCCTCAGGCTCGAGTTTACAGCTGAAGAGTCAGCATGGAGGTGTTCATTTAAGCTAATGAATAATTATTGCTTAGTTGTAATGGGGATCTCAGAGTTAAGTTTAAGTTACATGATTGTATGAAGTACAAAGTAGTGTAGTTGTGTGTGCCGACCGCACGTGTTACTATTTATTGATGTTGAAACGTCGTGTGCCCTACGCTTGTGTTCAAGAGAAGTTGTTATGTTACCTCATTGTTAACTACCTATTGTATTAATTAAATGATAAGGTTTAATTACAACTCTTTTATTCATGAATCCTTTTGTTGCGTCGTGAGTGTGGTTCTGATTCAATGTATTAATGAGAATTGTTTGAGTTGTGGTATTTTAGCTTTCATCTGGCAGTTTCCTGCTTAGACGCTTGGGCCATGTGATAGAGTGAGTGCTATCACTGAATCTCGTGATACGAGTAGGTAGACTCGAATAAGTGCTTTACTAAATAAAAGAAACTGTTGTAATGTAATAAAAACTGTTGGCGCTCCACTACTGTGCGCTTTTCAAGACACTTTTTGCCCCGCACAACCAATCTGTGGAACGGGTTATCGTCTGCGGTATTTCCGGACCGATACGACCTTCAAACCTTCAAGAAAAGAGCGTACTCCTTCCTAAAAGGCCAGCAACGCGTTTGTGACTCCCGAGTTGAAGACGTTCATGGGCGGCGATGGTCACTTTCCATCAGGTGACCCGTCTGCTCGTCTGCCCTCTCTAACATAAAAAGAAAACTATGTAATTAATTGTTTTTACATTCGTTAGTCGAGGCGTGTCTTAAAATATATTTATAGGAAATAAATACAGTTTCTTTGTTAGTGTTCTAAAAAAGTCACTAACACTTGTAGTGACTTTTTTATACTTCAGTATTTCTATTCCAACCACACAAAAAAATGGATCAAAACTACTTATAAAAATATTTAATTTTGTGAAATTGGTAATAAAATAAAGTATGTATGTAAATACTCTAATAAAAAAAATAATAATAAAATCAACAATACATACGTTTCATATTTGTAAATTAAGTGCCTACAAATAATTATACTTAGGTACGATAAGTCACTCGATTGCAATACGTAATACGTCCATACTTGTTTACAACTTGCAATAGTGGTCTCTCGGAACGCGTGGGTGCGGCTGGTTTTGTGGTGGCTTTATTATTACACTACTTATTTACTTTGATGTTAAAACAATAACATGTAATTGAAAAGCCGCTCCGGCACTTGATATTTACTATATTTGAAAACAAATGTCAAATAAAAAACAAATTCGATTTAAAAATACATTATTTTATTATAAAAATTGTTATTTTCTTAAGCAGTCTTCTTGTCTAACATAGATGTATAAAATTATAGTATTGCTCACAATATTTTAACCTGATCTCTAAGACTGGCAGCCAGTGCCATGGGTAGGCGGTATGGAGCGAGACATCAACCTTGTTTCTACAGGACATAAATTATACTGCTACGTAACATGTCTTAAGCTCAACGAGCCACTATAACAATCTATAAACATGAATACTTGAGAACACAATCACTCACAAACTATCTGTATTTTGTTTTTTTTTTTTGTTGCTACACAAACACAGCAAATGGCAGTTTCCATAATAGATGTTCACTTGAGTTTATAAGTCACTTGCATTAAATATTATAACTACAAATAAAAAAAATGATCTCTGAATTTAACAATTTCAATGCACTGCATTGTAAGCTTGTCAGCAGTTTCAGTTAACTTTTCCAGAAGTTAGGGTTTCGTTGTAGTCTTGTCTCAAAGTTTTGATACCATGTTTGTAATGTGTTTAGAGGTATATATAAAACTCCTGGAGTGGGCGTCATCTGCTCCTGTGTCACTGAGTATGAAGCTACAAAGTTCACCAAATTTTCTAACATTTTTTGAGCAAATGTTATGTAGTTGCTCTGTTGCTGGGCCTAAAAAAAAAATGTTTGAAATTGTATAGATAAGCCATGGTACAACTACTTAATATGACTTGAGAACGGCTGAATAATTAGAATATTTTTTTACTTCAATACAGCAATAGACATACAACATACACACAGGCAATAGCCAATAGCTATTGCCTGTGTGTATGTCGGTTATTGCGGTAAAATCATCTTATGTTACTCGCTGATAATGTAGCTTTCTATTAGTGAATGAACTTTTAAAATATCTTTAGTGGTTTAGGTGTGAAAGTGTAACAAACAAACTCACTTATGTATATGATGTATAGATTGTTATTTTTCCTCAAAACCTTATAAGTATAGCCAATAAGAATTCTGGGGACCCGAAATGGTTACTCAAAATGAATATTTGTAGTTTAATACTAAATATTGCAACAGTGCATGTTGAACATGCATTGTTGCAATGAGTATGTTCCTGGGTAGACCTGACATACGACACACAAAGTCGACTTTAACTAACAGATGAGTCTAGGGTCAAGGATTATATTCTCATCTATAACTGTATACTTTAAACTAGCTGTAGCTATAAATACCTACATGTAATTTTTATTTTACATGTATTTGTATATGTCTTTACTTATGGAATATCCTTCTGACATGCCACTACACTCTCATAGGCAGCATATCAAAGGCATATCAGAGGTTAAGTACCACAGCAGGCTTTAAATTTTTTATATACTAATAATTCCTAAACTATTCTCATTAAATATATTTATGATAAAATAGTCTGTGTAGTGATGGATTAAGAATATGTAATGTCACTACCCCAATTCATCCCGTGGGTGTCATAAGAGCTAAGGGTGCAAAACAATACAGGACACCAGCACTGCAAAAAGAAGGAAAATTTAACACAAACCCAATACCAACCTATCTGGTCAATGTGGTATAGTAAGCCAAAACCTCCTTTCTAAGGAGACGCCTATGGCCAGCAGTGGACTATTAAAGGCTGTTAATGTTTGGTGATGATGCAAATATGATTATGAACATACTAATGAGATAACTTACAACTGAAGAGGCAAGGAGCTGGATGTTAGCTTCTGGTTCAATGGCTATGCCAAGCTGTGCATTATGACATATCTTTTGCTGTCCAAATGCACTTATGAACTTAGTTTCATCTGAAAAACATAAGAGTATTTTAGTTTCTTGTCTCAGATAAACAAAGCACCATGTGGAACTTACTAGCAACTTACTAGATAACTCATGCAACTTTTTTAAGGTCCCTATTTTAAATATAGCTGAAGGTTTGGTATTAGATATATGTCCCAGAAGTTGCCAGTTGGGAGGCGCGGTAGGGTCCGGCCAGCTCCAGTACACCATGCCCGCGGTGCCAGCCGGCAGTGGGGCCAGACCCGTTAAAAACACTACCAGGTGATTAATATTGTCTGCCTCTGTGATAGTAGTGAGAAACTGAGTTTGTGACACAGGAGCAAAATCCGTCTGCACCTGTAAAATTTAAGATAAACAATGTTACAAACTTGCTAAATTTAATAACATTCAGCTAAGATGTATTCTAGTACTTACGAAACGACCCGATACAATTATTCCAAATACGTTTGACATGGTTCTAATTCTATTTTACATTAACGCACTATTAAACACAACACACAAGAATAAGAATAACCATAACAAAATTCTACTTGATTCTAGAAACATTCTATTCTATACATTTTTAATCTATATTCTCATATGATGCGCATCAAACGTCAAAATGATAAAACGTTTAGTTTACACTGTTATTAATGAGAAGCTGTATTATTCTTTTTTATTAATTAATAGCAAGTATGATTTTCCAAAAAAAAGTGTTATATAGTGCATAATTTGTGTTACTTTACGATTTTTAATAATATTAATTTTTTGCAATAACTAATTATTCGGGATCTGTGTCTATATATTATCTATTTAGTGCGTAGAGAAAATATAAGAATAGAGCACGCAAGGGAAGCATCACCGTGTTTCACGTTGCGAGAGAGATCGTTGCACGTAGAGACCATCTCTATCTCTTTCTAAATCTATACAAATAAATAAAATTAAATGTCTGTTTGTAATGTCAAAATAATAGTTTTTTTTTTCATGCTAAAACCAGTTTAAACATTTTTGTCTGTCTGTTTGATAATATTTTACTACCAGGTAGCTGTCTATATGAGGAGTAACTTAGGCTATTTTTTTTTTAATAATATAATAAATAAATAAATAACCCTATAAAATTTTGGCCGGTCTGGGAATCGAACCCACTAAAGCGGGTGATCCATTGGCGAGTCGGCGAGCTAACGGTATAAACTGTAGGCTCGTTCGACTGTCGACTCGCGGTGGTGATCCATTAGCGTGCCAAACAGACCACTCTCATCGTTGGCGAAGTCATGTCGTGCTCCCAGACGGAACTACTTTGTTACTTAGGAATACTCCTACAAGAAGAACAACCAAAGAAAAAAAAAAAGACGCCACAAAGTGTGGGTCAAAAACTGGCTGCAAGAGAGACAACGCTTGTCCCATGTAAACTTAGTAGCAGAACTTATTGGTGAACCAAATGATTACAGAAATTATTTAAGGATGACCGAGGAAGTGTTTAAGGAGCTGCTGGATTTGATTTCCCCTTTAATAAAAAGACAAGATACAGTTTTTCGTGAACCGATTTCACCATATGAACGCTTATGTGCAACTCTTCGGTTCCTTGCAGCTGGTGGAACACAAACTAGTTTACAATACTCTACAATAATTTCCAGGCAGGCTTTGGGACGCATCATACCAGAAACATGTAAAGCTATACATGATACACTGAGACGATAATTATATAATTTTACATTTATTTATTGAACCAAAGTATTTGTTATTAAATCAATTATTTTTCTTTTTATCAAAACTTAATTATGTTTATTGTTCTGTGAAAGTCCGGAGGTAGTTTTGTATAATTGTTGGTGATTGTGTATGTGCATCATTGTCTAAAATAGAAAAAGTCGGAAGGCTATTTTCTGCATTTAACACTACTGATTCAGGCTGGGTCATTAATTGAGTTAGCTGACATTTTGATTACTTCGTACAATTTTATTATTATTAATAGTATAGTTTGCAGGCCCAGCCACAGACTGAGAATAAGTAGCCTCACTGGCAAAGGAAGTACTGCAAAAATTAAGTTTTTCTACAACATTACTCATTCTGCCAAGAGTTCCAGTAATACATGAGTCTAAAGTGAGATGTTTCAGTGTTCCAAAATACAGAGCGTCATTAATTATCTTTTCTGCGTGAATTTTCTGGTCAGCGTCCATACTCCTTAATTTGTTGGCTATATTTTTTCCCACTACATCAAACTCGTCTTCAATATTATCCAGCTTTTTTAATATTTTTGCCAGTACTTGGTCTCTATTTTCTTGTTCAGTTTGTTTTTTATTTTTTCGCTGTGATACTGATCGCAAAGATGACTCAGACGAAGACACCGACGAAGGTGCTGTTATCTGAAAAATACTGTATAAGTTTTTGTACATAAAAACTTATGTTACTTCGCTTGTTACAGTTTCCTAGCACGGATGAGGAGATGAGAAAAATAGCAAATGTTTTCAAAAATAAAGGGCAATTTGCAAATTGTCTTGGTGCGGTAGATGGAAAACACATTGCCATCATACCACCCACAGGTGCTGGATCAGACTACTATAACTACAAAGGATTCCACAGTGTTGTTCTGATGGCGATTGCTAATTCGGCGATTCATTTACGTGGACATGGGGACTAAGGGACGAATTTCTGATGGAGGCGTATTACGACATACCGATTTTTTTAAACGTTTAGACTCAGGTACTCTTAAAATACCTCCTCCAGAAAAACCATGCGCAGAGGCAGAAGAATTACCCTTTGTTTACATAGGCGATGAGGCTTTTGCTTTAAGACCTGACTTTTTGAAACCGTACCCGCAACGGGATCTAGACAATTCGAAAAGAATTTATAACTATCGAATTTGCCGAGCACGGAGAATAATTGAAAACGCATTTGGAATATTAGCTTCTAGATTCCAAATATTCCGTGCTCCTATAAATATGAAAACTGAACACATAATATTGTGGTATTGGCTTGCTGTGCACTTCATAATTACCTTAGGCGCAAGATAAAAGATACATATACAAGACCTGAAGACTTTGACAGAGAAAACCACATTACTGGATCAATCGAACCAGGGCTTCGCCCGGATAATTATCTTACTCCACTGGCATCTTCATCTAGAAATATTCCTAGCAATGCGAAAAAAGTTCGAGAAGACTTCGAAAAATATTTCAACACATATGGTACTGTCGAATGGCAAGGGCGTATGGTGAATTTGTATAATATTTAAATTATGTAAATAGGGGTATTGGTATATAATTATCGAAAATTGGCAAATTTTAAGGCATATGTGAAGTCTGCCAATGATGATGGAAATCACCTACCATACGATATGGTGGTACCTTTTTAGTAGTTCAATGTATACTATAAATACCTCCGTTTCTGTTAACATTGCTTCATTATCATCAATGCTCTAAATTTCATCTAAAGTTGGAACGGATGAAGTAGCTGAAATATGTCGAATTAAAATCATTAATATTTTCAACAACCTTCATAACACATCAAATAAAAGTTATTAATATTACACTGACTCCGTGTGTAGCCATCTTTAATTATGTTTTTTGTAGAACCAATGTTGATTATAAAATAAAAATAAAATAATTAAAAATGATTTTTAATATACTTACCTACGCAATGAAATATAGTGTGTCTAACATAACTTGGCTAAAACTCATTTTCAAAATCTTTTAAAGGGCAACATTATTTAATTAACGTAAATTCACAACGATTCAACTGATTCAAGTAAACAATTTTAATTGAAAATTTATAAAAGTATCAAATGAGTTCGTAGTTAGAATTTTGAGTGTTTACAGGTGACAATTTTTTTAAATTTGCCGCGTTTTTTTTTGGCCAAGGTATATATTATACTAGACTATAATACACTAGCTGCGCCTCGCGGTTACCAACATACCTACCCATATAAATAATTTGGTAAATAATCTAAACGTAATATAAATAATAGTCATAAAACCATTATGGTACCTACGTGTAAATAAGTAGATACTAACTTCCTATTTGGTCGTTGAGAAATTCCAATTCTGTGTAATACCACAGCTTGGGCGTATATACTTCATCGGCTCCCGATCCAGTCCTCATACTGTCTTGAACCTTTTTTCTCTTCTTCCTGTGAGTTTATTTTTGTAATCCCGCCTTGTGTACAACCACAGACAAGGCTGTTCCTTAAAACAATGTATTATTTCAAGTACTAAATCGCGATTATACGATCGTAAATCTGAAATTTTTCTATTTCGGTAATACCTACGTGCCGTTCGGCATGCGTGTGTTCGATACAGCAGCGTGAAAAAGACTGTCGGCTCGCAAGCTCGGCTGATCCATTGACGGTTTATTATGTGTGCGTTACCCCAGCAAAATAATGTCGAAAATGGTCATTTAAACGTTATAGATAATTAGTTGCTCCCCTTCTGTAATTGTTAAGCACATTTTTAAATTTGTTTCACTTAAACTTTTTTAGTTATTTCAAAAAAGTGTGCGTTACCCCAGCAAAATAATGTCGAAAATGGTCGTTTAAACTTTATAGATAATTAGTTGCTCTCCTTCTGTAATTGTTAAGCACATTTTTAAATTTGTTTCACTTAAACTTTTTTAGTTATTTCAAAAAAACATTTCCTGCTGGGGTAACGTTTGAAACGTTACCGCAGCCAGACATTTTCTTTTTTAATTGTAATATTGAAATAAATTTTAGCTAGATAATTAGTTATCTGGTCTAGGTAAATGTTACAACTTATTTGGTATTTGTATTTTCTTCGGCTGCGAAGTTATTCGAAATCCTGCTGGAGTAACGTTTGTGGGTTTGCTGGATCTCTGAAACGGGTAAGCGGATTGTAACCATCTTTTGTACATAACTTCTTAAGGATAAGTTTTAATTTGTTCGACAATAAAATAACAAAAATAATGGACCGTTTAAAAATTATTTAGGTAAGTATGAAAACACTTCAATACGTCCTAACACTTTAAATAAGACCTCTAAAGACTTACTTCAAACGTTATTCTATTGCTTGTAACTACCTTCAAATGTATACGAATTTTCGTAAGAATACTATAAGTGACTAAAAAGTTATGATGAAATGTAGCTCTCCACGTTCACGATCACAATGTGTGCGGCCTTTTTTGGCCACCGATAAACCTGTGTGTGGATATATAAACTGAATGTTATGCCAATAATTAGTTGTTTAGTTCAGTTGTCTACCTGTAAAATTTCAGCGTCGTACATATAATAATTAACGAGATAATCAAATAAAAGTCATTAGAAGGTGCAAGACCGTGGTAACCCGACCATGTTTAGGTGGTTACAAAAAAGCGATCACCCAGTACATTGTGCTGGCTTTTAAAATGTTTAGTGTAATACACCTTACGATTTCGGTACAGTTGCGTACAGTGTTAAATACATTCAATATTTATTCATTATTATTACCTATTATTTATTTTGTTTTTTTCCCTAATTGATCTTAAGCACTAGTTTCTTTACTTAAAATTTCTTTAGTCTTTTTTACTACCGGAGCTACAATCAACAGAAAATCTGCACTGGTCCGCTAAAATTATAAATATGTAGATACATGTATGAACGATTCACCTGACTGCAATAAATCGAAAATTTAAACTAATGAGAAATCGTTTCATTTCTTTGATTTTTTTTGTAAAGAAATAACACTAAAGTAATTGTATTTTATTTTGGGGTGTATAGAGCTTAGACTTGAATGCATCAAAATATTTAAAGCAACAAGTCATCTACAATAAGTTAAAATAGACCGAATAGTAGAAGAATACAGTTGTAAATTAGAATGCATCAACATTGCATCGCCCAACAGTCGTATACCTCGTAAGAGTAGGTAATATTGTTCTGTGGTCTATACCGAGAACCGAGAATTATCTATACCTATGTACCTACCGTTAAGCGTTGAGCCCGTGACTGTTGATTTCTGTTAAAAACGAACAGTTGTTGAATGATATTTTGATGTAATAACGGTAATTTAATTTATCGAGTGAAAGTGATACATTTTTATAGATAAAATTATTGGTCATATAATATTTGTCAATCAAGAATCGCTGATAATACATCCTTCGCTAGAACGCGGGAGGGGAGGGGCGAAGGGATACTTTATTGTTTGCAATTTGCATCTAGTGCACTAAACTTGACCCTTAGGCAGATAATATACTTACGTGTTGTAAAGTACGTGTGCGTTTCCGCTTTCTATTTTTGCAAATATTTATCGTATTCTTGAGAGTTCTTCAATATGTGTGTACCTAATTACTAATAATGGGCATTAATGCTAATTCGATTCAATTTAAGTAATTGTCAATTCTTGTCTTAGGATATTAATTACTAATGCTAATATTGAAATTTTGTTCAGGGTGAACAAATTAAAAACGATCATAACTTGTAGGTAAGTATATCACTTATTACTAATTTTACATAAATACTTTATTTTATTATAATTTAACTCACCGCGATTTTGTGATCAAATATTTTATTTTCTCCAACATTATTACAGAAATATTGCAATACAGAGTTTGTTCGCGATATGCTAGCCTAAGTCGATTCCTCACTTAAAAAAATCCCCATCTATTCACAAATTACACAATTACAAATCACAAACCTATTTACAACGCATACGTTACACTCTTCAAAACTTAAATTACCTATACCTACCTTAAAATTAAACTTCAAATAACAAATACTACGCAGGTACCAATTCTATGAACAACTATAAACAATTCACCTAAACATTACGAGAAAACAAAAGCATTCAAAACAATACCTAATCGCCCGGCTGATTACTAATTATGCAATAAACAATCCTAAATAAAAATTATTTAAAAAACATGTAGTTTTTTGTAACACTTATGTACATATCCGTAGTAAACTTACAAATAATATCCTACATATTATAAAAGCCAGCACAATGTACTGGGTGATCGCTTTTTTGTAACCACCTAAACATGGTCGGGTTACCACGGTCTTGCACCTTCTAATGACTTTTATTTAATTATCTCGTTAATTATTATATGTATGACGCTGAAATTTTACAGGTAGACAACTGAACTAAACAACTAATTATTGGCATAACATTCAGTTTATACATCCACACACAGGTTTATCGGTGGCCAAAAAAGGCCGCACACATTGTGATCGTGAACGTGGAGAGCTACATTTCATCATAACTTTTTAGTCACTTATAGTATTCTTACGAAAATTCGTATACATTTGAAGGTAGTTACAAGCAATAGAATAACGTTTGAAGTAAGTCTTTAGAGGTCTTATTTAATGTGTTAGGACGTATTGAAGTGTTTTCATACTTACCTAAATAATTTTTAAACGGTCCATTATTTTTGTTATTTTATTGTCGAACAAATTAAAATTAATCCTTAAGAAGTTATGTACAAAAGATGGTTACAATCCGCTTACCCGTTTCAGAGATCCAGCAAACCCACAAACGTTACTCCAGCAGGATTTCGAATAACTTCGCAGCCGAAGAAAATACAAATACCAAATAAGTTGTAACATTTACCTAGTCCAGATAACTAATTATCTAGCTACAATTTATTTCAATATTACAATTAAAAAAGAAAATGTCTGGCTGCGGTAACGTTTCAAACGTTACCCCAGCAGGAAATGTTTTTTTGAAATAACTAAAAAAGTTTAAGTGAAACAAATTTAAAAATGTGCCTAACAATTACAGAAGGGGAGCAACTAATTATCTATAAAGTTTAAATGACCATTTTCGACATTATTTTGCTGGGGTAACGCACACTTCAAAAAAACATTTCCTGCTGGGGTAACGTTTGAAACGTTACCGCAGCCAGACATTTTCTTTTTTAATTGTAATATTGAAATAAATTTTAGCTAAATAATTAGTTATCTGGACTAGGTAAATGTTACAACTTATTTGGTATTTGTATTTTCTTCGGCTGCGAAGTTATTCGAAATCCTGCTGGAGTAACGTTTGTGGGTTTGCTGGATCTCTGAAACGGGTAAGCGGATTTTTACCATCTTTTGTACATAACTTCTTAAGGATTAGTTTTAATTTGTTCGACAATAAAATAACAAAAATAATGGACCGTTTAAAAATTATTTAGGTAAGTATGAAAACACTTCAATACGTCCTAACACTTTAAACAAGACCTCTAAAGACTTACTTGAAACGTTATTCTATTGCTTGTAACTACCTTCAAATGTATACGAATTTTCGTAGGAATACTGTAAGTGACTAAAAAGTTATGATGAAATGTAGCTCTCCACGTTCACGATCAAAATGTATGCGGCCTTTTTTGGCCACCGATAAACCTGTGTGTGGATATATAAACTGAATGTTATGCCAATAATTAGTTGTTTAGTTCAGTTGTCTACCTGTAGAATTTCAGCGTCGTACAAATAATAATTTACGAAATAATTAAATAAAAGTCATTAGAAGGTGCAAGTCCGTGGTAATCCGACCATGTTTAGGTGGTTACAATAAAGCGATCACCCAGTACATTGCGCTGTCTTTTAAAATGTTTAGTGTAATACACCTTACGATTTCGGTACAGTTGCGTACAGTGTTAAATACATTCAATATTTATTCATTATTATTACCTATTATTTATTTTGTTTTTTTCCCTAATTGATCTTACGCACTAGTTTCTTTACTTAAAATTTATTTAGTCTTTTTTACTACCGGAGCTACAATCAACAGAAAATCTGCACTGGTCCGCTAAAATTATAAATATGTAGATACATGTATGAACGATTCACCTGACTGCAATAAAACTAAAATTTAAACCAATAAGAAATCGTTTCATTTCTTTGATTTTTTTTTGTAAAGAAATAACACTAAAGTAATTGTATTTTATTTTGGGGTGTATAGAGCTTAGACTTGAATGCATCAAAATATTTAAAGCAACAAGTTATCTACAATAAGTTAAAATAGACCGAATAGTAGAAGAATACAGTTGTAAATTAGAATGCATCAACATTGCATCGCCCAACAGACGTATACCTCGTAAGAGTAGGTAATATTGTTCTGTGGTCTATACCTAGATACCTACCGTTAAGCGTTGAGCCCGTTACTGTTGATTTCTGTTAAAAACGAACAGTTGTTGAATGATATTTTGATATAATAACGGTAATTTAATTTATCGAGTGAAAGTGATACATTTTTATAGATAAAATTATTGGTCAGATAATATTTGTCAATCAAGAATCGCTGATAATACATCCTTCGCTAGAACGCGGGAGGGGAGAGGCGAAGGGATACTTCATTGTTTGCAATTTGCATCTAGTGCACTAAACTTGACCCTTAGGCAGATAATATACGTGTTGTAAAGTACGTGTGCGCTTCCGCTTTCTATTTTTGCAAATATTTATCGTATTCTTGAGAGTTCTTCAATATGTGTGTACCCAATTACTAATAATAGGCATTAATGCTAATTCGATTCAATTTAAGTAATTGTCAATTCTTGTCTTAGGATATTAATTACTAATGCTAATATTGAAATTTCGTTCAGGGTGAACAAATTAAAAACGATCATAGGTACGACCATCTTTTAGGTAGACAACGATCATCTTTTAGGTAGGTATATCACTTATTACTAATTTTACATAAATAATTTATTTTATTATAATTTAACTCACCGCGATTTTGTGATCAAATATTTTATTTTCTCCAACATTATTACAGAAATAATGCAATACAGAGTTTGTTCGCGATATGCTAGCCTAAGTCGATTCATCACTTAAAAAAATCCCCATCTACCTATTCACAAAATACCTATTTACAACGCATACGTTACACTCTTCAAAACTTATCATTTCATTTCATATTTCTTAAATTACCTATACCTACCCTAAAATTAAACTTCAATTAACAAATACTACGCAGGTACCAATTCTATGAACAACTATAAACAATTCACCTAAACATTACGAGAAAACAAAAGCATTCAAAATAATACCTAATCTCCCGGCTGATTACTAATTATGCAATAAACAATCCTAAATAAAAAATATTTAAAAAACATGTAGTTTTTTGTAACACTTATGTACATATCCGTAGTAAACTTGCAAATAATATCCTACATATTTTAAAAGCCAGCACAATGTACTGGGTGATCGCTTTTTTGTAACCACCTAAACATGGTCGGGTTACCACGGTCTTGCACCTTCTAATGACTTTTATTTAATTATCTCGTAAATTATTATATGTACTACGCTGAAATTTTACAGGTAGACAACTGAACTAAACAACTAATTATTGGCATAACATTCAGTTTATATATCCACACACAGGTTTATCGGTGGCCAAAAAAGGCCGCACACATTGTGATCGTGAACGTGGAGAGCTACATTTCATCATAACTTTTTAGTCACTTACAGTATTCTTACGAAAATTCGTATACATTTGAAGGTAGTTACAAGCAATAGAATAACGTTTCAAGTAAGTCTTAAGAGGTCTTATTTAAAGTGTTAGGAGGTATTTAAGTGTTTTCATACTTACCTAAATAATTTTTAAACGGTCCATTATTTTTGTTATTTTATTGTCGAACAAATTAAAACTAATCCTTAAGAAGTTATGTACAAAAGATGGTTACAATCCGCTTACCCGTTTCAGAGATCCAGTAAACCCACAAACGTTACTCCAGCAGGATTTCGAATAACTTCGCAACCGAAGAAAATACAAATACCAAATAAGTTGTAACATTTACCTAGTCCAGATAACTAATTATTTAGCTAAAATTTATTTTAATATTACAATTAAAAAAGAAAATGTCTGGCTGCGGTAACGTTTCAAACGTTACTCCAGCAGGAAATGTTTTTTTGAAATAACTAAAAAAGTTTAAGTGAAACAAATTTAAAAATGTGCTTAACAATTACAGAAGGGGAGCAACTAATTATCTATAAAGTTTAAATGACCATTTTCGACATTATTTTGCTGGGGTAACGCACACGTTTATTATACCGCGGTCTTAGGATTTCAAGCATGCACGAAGAGCCAACGAGCCAAACCGCGAACTTTTAAAACTGCGATTTTGTAGGTGCTTCATTGGCGGTTTATACCTTTAGCTCGCAGGCTCTTGGCGTCCCAGCGGTCTTAGCTCGCCAATGGATCAGTTGCTTAAGGCAACGCTTTTCAAATTCCACGCGAACTAAGTCACGGGCACCAGCTAGTTCCCTATATACATGCAGTGAGAGAGAGATAGAGAGGGCCTCTGCATGCAGCGATGTCTCTCGCACCTCAAAGCATTGGGTTAGGTGTCATTGATTCTTATATTATCTCTATGATCTAGTGTTAAACACATGTCCGTTTTAAAATTAATTAATTACCTCCCATTACACCTTAGTAAGGGATAAAAAATGCTTTTATTTTGTACGACCAGCTTAATAGCTCAAAATCCCATATACCTAGAACGAAAGACGAATACTTGCTCATATGCTCATTATCCGGTAACGGTAACAGTAAGAATCCTTCCTCGTTACATGGTATCTTGTAGGAAATTCGTTCTACTTTATCTTTAGGCATTTTTATTAGACTAGATCTAATAAAAATACCTAAAGATCGCTACATTTCAATGGACTAGTTTATTTTGCTTACCTATTGACTCGATATTGGCTGCACGCAAAATAAACTACTGACCATACCTGCACAAAAAGAATCAAGAAAATATTAATTTGCTAAAAGAAGTACAAAACTTGAAGAATATCGTCCCGGGATAAAATGGCTGCCTTGTCTTAAGTTATCTTTACTAGCTTGTGCCACAATACAATTATAAAGTAGAAAACAACCTTATCAGCCTGTTAGCACACTCTGGGGTGTCCGCCCATAAACTTGGATTGATAAGATAGGCACTCATATATTCTAAACATTTGAACACACAGCTTGAGACAACTTCTATTTAATTGGGAAAAAGATCTACTATGAAAAATAAGAGTACATACTGCTCATAAATTTATTGTTTTGAAGATCCAACCTAGATTTACAAAGATATACAAACAAATATTCCAACAAAAATATACAAAACAAGAAACAGGAACTAGCACCTGACAGGATAGATAACAAATTTTATAATTAAGCATGTAATGTATTAACATTGTTAATTTAAAAACAAACATGGAATGAATTTTATTGCGGTTATATATGCGTCATAAATGCGATCAGTTGTGTTAGAGAGCAGGCAAAGCTGTATATCAAGTAGATAAATGACAGTAACAGTTACGAATGATAAGAAGCGTAAATAATAGTCTGATATCGGACAGTCACAGGGCGATACCAAGCGGAGGCAGACGCCGCGCCTAATTGATATCTACAGACAGAACGTCATATCACATATTTACTACGAACAATTCTCCCCATAACAGGTACACATACAATTATTAAGTAATGATATAACATCGTTTTATGTCTATTAAAGCCTAATTATTCTGTAATACATTTATATTAAATATTTCACCTAAGTAACTAATTGTTCAGTATATAAGTAACTATTATTATTGTACTGATAATTATTTATTGCGATGCATGTTAAAATTGCAAACATAAGATTTAATCCCTCATGTATGGGTAATCAATGTCGCGTAAAGGTACAAAGGTCTCCTTGATGGACTGGGGTGAGGTCCACCTCATCACATAGTTGGGTCCGCCTGCCTTGTCGTTGGTGCCAGACATGCGGCCACCACCGAATGGTTGCTGTCCCACCACTGAGCCTGTTGACTTGTCATTGATGTAGAAGTTACCTGCGGTTACCTTCAGCTCCTCCAGAGCTCTTTCAAGGAAACCTGGGTCTTTAGCAAATATAGCACCCGTTAAAGCATATTTGGTTGAAGAACCAATAAGCTCCATGGTCTTGTCAAGATCCTGGTCCTCATAAACATACATAGTGAGCACCGGGCCAAAAATTTCATCTACCATGCACTTGTCAAGAGGATCGGTTGTCTCTATGATGGTGGGTTGAACAAAGTAACCAATGCTCTCATCAAATGAGCCACCACCGATTATTTTGCATTTAGGATTTTGTTTTGCATTCTTGATATAGGTTGTAATTCTGTTGTATGCAACTTTGTCAATGACAGCCCCAGAAAACATCTTAAAGTTTGTAACATCACCTATCTCCAACTTATCACGCTCTTCCAGTAGTCCACTCTTGATAGGCTCATACAAAGACCTTGGAACATATATTCTTGAGCAAGCTGAACATTTCTGACCACAATATTCAAAGGCTGAGCGAACAGTTCCCATCACAACCGACTGTATATCAGCAGATGGATGCACGAAATGATAATTCTTACCTCCACATTCTCCAATCAGCCTAGGATAGTTACGGTATTTATCAAGATTTTTACCAACGCCATTCCAAAGCCAGTTGAATGTGGCAACAGAGCCAGTGAAGTTCAAACCGGCTAAGTAAGGAGAAGATGTGATAGTTTTACCAAATGTAGGTCCATGAGCAGGAACGAAGTTTACCACTCCATCAGGTAACCCTGCTTCTCGCATTATGTTGAATATTATCCAGTTTGATAGAAGAGCCGTGTCAGATGGCTTCCATAATACACTGTTGCCCATAAGTGCTGGGGTGTATGCCAAGTTGCCTCCTATAGCAGTGAAGTTAAATGGGCTGATTGCTGCAATGAAGCCATCAATTCCGCGGAACCTGAGGGAATTCCTGGTTACTGAGGCATTTTCAGAGATAGGCTGGTACTTAGCATTTTCTTTTAGAAAATAGGCATTGAATCTAAAGAAATCAATAAGTTCTGCAGATGAGTCGATTTCAGCTTGTATAACTGTTTTGGACTGGCCCAGCATAGTAGCAGCGTTGAGTTTTTGCCTGTACTGTCCTGCCATTAGGTCTGCAGCCTTATCCCAGATGCTCAGCCGTTCCTCCAGTGTCGTGCGATCCCAACGCTTTTGGGCCTCCACACTCACTTTGATAGCTTTCTCAATAGTTTTTTCACTTGCATAATAAAACTTAGCTATCTTCTTTGAGTGATCGTGTGGCATCGCCTGATAGACCGGTGGGCCTTCCTTGATGATTTCGCCACCAATGACAATGGGAACCTCTTCAGTGTTGCTGGCTACATTTTTCAGCTCCTGTATGAGCGTGTTGCGTTCAGTGCTACCTTTACGATAACCCAGAATGGGCTCGTTCTGGACGTCGAAGTCCTGGAAGCACGGCAGCTTCACCACACTAGACAGCGAGCGCTCCAGCGCCCGCCCTCCATTAAACGACAATGTTCGCACGGTCAACATCTTTGTTATTATTGTTTTGTTTTAGTCTTCATATAATTATTTCGCTAATTTCGATTGGTTTATGACGTCCCCTTCTTTATGTAATGTCAATCGAGTTACGTAAACTTTGTCGTTCACCAATGACAAAAAATGAGACGTTATTGTGTGACCTTCACTGCTCCATCACATCGTTAGGTACCCTAGTACTGAGCTACAACATGAAAATGCACCGAAAACTATATATTGATTACCATAATCCTACTAGACGTATGTAACAGTGCGCAATTTGATTTATCTGCATAATATTGAACGCAGTCATAGACTATCTTCGTGTCTTTGTCAGATGTTTTACTATTTCGTTTTTTTGAGAAAATAAATTTGCAAATTATTTTTAATAATACTAGGATCAAAAATAAGACTTTTCGTATTTAACATTAGTTCATTTTGCTAAAATCCATTAGACACGTAAAGTTCCTTATTTAGTAAAGTTCCTTTTTGAAGCAAACTTCAATATTCCGCGCAAGAACGTACCTAAAATTTTAAGCAGATGTTTTATGTTGTGCTACGTACCAACCCCTTAAAGCTTAAAAATAAATGTGTCTCTTATCCGTGAAGTGTGTTTGAAGCCAGAAAATGTTCTAATCTAATTTGAATATTTTTACCTTGTACTGGATTTCTGTCTAATTTTTTTAATTTGATAATCAAAACAAACAAACGCACATGGTCCTAGGGTCGCAATATAATTGTTTTCCTGCTAACGGTTATCAGTTAGTAGTAATCCTGCTCGAGTCGTGACTTGCGTTGGATCTAATCTAACCGCACTGCTATATTAATATTTAAGGAGAGCCCAGGAAAAGTATTGTTTATTACAAATACAATTACCTACTTAACAGAACTTTGATTGTATTTCACCGTAGCATGGAATTGGTACAGGAAAAGTGACAATCAACAAAAGTGCAAGTCTTTTCTAAAAGGATAATCGTTACCGAATCAAGAGCAATAATCGTTATTTAACAACTTTTTATACTTACTATTAGGATTGCCAACAAACTTACAGATAGGCTGGAATATACACCGGCTTTTGACTGATTACTTACATTTCTACAGAAATCTATACCATCTGTGTATTTTTAATCTATCTACACATATTTATAAAAAAACTTAATTACTGTTAGTTATTGGCGCTCTCATATTATTTTTATCGGCAATCGCGCCTGTAATTTCTTTCATGGTCACGGATAATTTTATACATGGCTTTCGTAGAGGTTCTAGTTAGTTTGTGTTAATTTCACACCTATTCGATTGCGATGGAATCACAACACTGAGTGCGGTCTCCGTGACGATTGAATATATGTGACATAAACTCGCACTAGGGTCTAGTATGAGTCAGCAAGAACTAGGCCTTAATTTCAGAGCTAATAAAACCGGAAAATCTCCGGAGATAATTAAAGTGGCACTTTCCCGCGACAAAATCTCATGTGTAAAGTTTTAATAAGAACAGATTATGAGACTAGGGCGCACTAAGGAGCCTCACCTCCCCCTTCCTATACTAGCAGAGAGCACTCAAAGGACGACTATGCACTTGTCTTTTGACTTGCACGTGTGCATGATCGACAACGTTCGCGAGTCACTATTAGGTGACCCGTCGGCCGGGAACGGGCCGGAGGTCGCAGAACGACCTCCGTCCTCCATTAGCGCAGGCCTGGGGGTGACAGGTGAGGCCATGTGTCACCCTAGCAGAAGCAGGCCAGGGTGGCGGCGAGGGCGTTGCGAAGCGTGCTCGCTTCCAGGGAGCAGAGGGAACATGGGGTTCCCACACGGGGGGGGGGGGGGGTCGTCTACTTGTTGTAGATGCCTCGAGGTATGTCCGGGCACCAGGGACTTTTTTTCTAGGGTATACCACATAAATGATAGTACTTTTATACTGATAATTAAAGCAATACGTGCAAAATTATTCCCTAACCATTCCAAAATATCAAAAATGCACAACGTTAATATTCAAGTTTTCACTTCTGCCGGCACTCCCGGAGTGCAACGCGTCGTTTTTTAATTTACCATAACCAATATATTAATATCATTACGATTTGAAGAGTGACTCCTCAATCCAAACGAACACTGGGACACAACTCTTATCACCAAGTGCGTTAGACACAAACAGAGCACCTCATCGTTAGACAAGTTATTTTGATGCATCTCACTGCTGCACTCAGCTACTTACCCATCACACTCTGTCTGCTAAATTATAATATCATAACTGCCGTCTTATTCATTTCGTTCGCCAATATAATAGAACGATTTGATACAACACTGGCGTTGTATTTAGCCAGTTAATTTAAAACCTTGTAAGATATAGCGACCGCTTGCGCAAGTTTTTTTTTATATGTAAGTATGTTTTTTTTGTATGCATGTATTTTTTATTTATTTATATGTTGCTGTATCCTTGGCAATGTGTTGGTATTTATAATTAATTTGTACATAGGTGGATGTATTTGGGTATAAATAAAACATGTGTTCCATTCCTATATATTTTATTGCAATTCAGGATCAATACATCATGGGTATACAACTAAAGTAGCACGCAGCGCGTTGACTAAGTACCGCGCATGCGCGGGCGGACCGCCTGCGCACAATTTGTACCGATTTAAGGTTCGTTCCCACTACAACGAGCCGGGCACTGGACTACCTTAGTGCTCGTCACCTGCTCGTTGCAGTGAGCATCCCCCTTTCACTAGTGTCATTGTCTTCAACCGGAACCACTGTGTGGCGGATCCAGTTTACTTTGTAGAACTCGCAAAATATTGCGGCACTAAAAAATAAGCTCCTAATCTAATATTATTAATAAATGTCATAATATATGCGTAAAGTAAGATACAACTAGGCATTGGCAAGTGTTGGGGGCGGGCCGCGGGTGTGACGTCACCGCCACGTGCGCGGGCGCCGCGAACAAACAAACAATATAATAATTATGACACTCATACAGCGTGCCCGGACAAAACATTACAATTATGTGTTATATAACCATGCGAAGCGCCCACCAGCATACACCAGGTTAACGTGGAGCCACAGTACATATATGTATGTACAGTCAGAAACATATATATTACATAGTTGGCCCTAATTTCATTACATGAAGCGCCTAGAATACTATTTTAATCTATGAAATAATGTTATACAGTAAACTCATTTTCATTAACTTATAGTCTCGTCTTTAAACCGTAGACAAAGTATTAGGACAAAATCCGATACCGCGACTGTTCCCATTTCGGGTTCTCGACAGCTGTATACACATGCTGTGGCACAGTGTAGTAAAGGACATACAAACTAAACATTCAATTACACCGGACTCCATTATAGACACAGAGCGCTCAGTACGTAGCGCGGGGCGAGTCCAGACAGCTCTACTAAGCGACACTATCAGTTTATACATCGTGATAGGAAATATAGAAAACACTACCTTGACCCTATTCTCGCCAATATTCAAGAAATACAAGAAAGATATATTTTAAATAAATATTTTAAATTTTTTCATCAACTCTCTCCCAAGTTTAATGAAAATAAAACAAAAAGAAATTGTAAATCCTGTACAAAAGTCAGTAAAAATAACGAAGATTTAGGAATGACATGGAATGAGTATAATACGATCACAATACAGTTCATATAGTTCGTCTACATACCATAGACCATAGTCATAGAGTATACGTCCATAGACTAACAACAAATTATTTTTACACCAATATATATTTTTTTAAATGCTTCAAAATGTCTTAGACGTTGCCCTAACACCTAATCAGTCGAGCTGTACGCTCAGCAACGTCGATAAGTACCTAAGATATGACTGGATACACCTTACACTAGCTACTGCGTGTAGCGGGTCACACTCGAGCGGGACGCGACGGGGACGCCCCGCCACGTAATTGACTCGTCGACTTCGTTACACTATCTCCTAATGTCATATAAGTACGTAAGTTATCCGATACATATGGGGCGACGTTCTCGAGCCCATTAGAAAGCTCCTTCGAGTGTTACAACAAATCTTTTCATGTCTTGACGTGTTGCAGCGACCTGTGAAGGAAATGGAGAAATGGATTAGTATTGGAAACGAAAAATTATACCATATATTGAAGTTAAATAAAAAAGACATATATTATAAAAAAAAAAAACTATATACAAGGTGTAAGGGACATCGTACCAAATACTGAAATAGTGTATTCAGACTATGATTCTAAGTCGAGAATCATTGGAATTCTCTGCCGAAAATTCATTGTTTTTTTTTTAATTTTCCATTTTTCTGGTTAATAAATTATATCACAATTTTTCACAGAACATTTTACTGAAAACAATTTAATAAATACCAAAAAAATGCAATGTAAATAATCAAACAGCCGAAGCGCGTGGGGCCTCCCCTCCGGCCGTCATTTTGTGTTTGCACGGAATACACATTTAGATATTACTTTTGTGCGATACTCACGGGGAATGAACTTAACCTTTGACAGCTGATTGCAAAAAAAGTTTAATTTTCCGGCAGAAAAATCCAATGATTTTCGACTCAGAATGATGGTCTGAATACACTATTTCAGTATTCATTACGACGTCCCTTACACCGTGTATATATAAAATCGTATAGCAAAAATATTGCATGAAATGGGGCACAAACACTAGCCGAAAATGGCAACACTGCTCTGAGTGAGTTTACATAATAGAAGTAAAGTAGGCCAGGCGAGGTCCCGCGCGGCAGCTACGTACGTGACTAGAAGAGCAGGTCGGTGGTGAGCGTGCGCGCCTCGCTCCACGAGCGCGCCGCGTCGGCGCCGCACGGCCGCGCGTCCCCCTCCGCCCCCGCACCCGCACCCGCCCCGTCCACACCCTCTTCCTCCAGAACGCATTCTTCCTCCTCCGGCGCTGAAATCGTACACCAATTATATAACATCATTATTTATATGGTTTGAGGGGAGGCCATAAGAAAGATGGTATACCTAGAAATTATTTGCTCCAAATAAAAAAATTGTAAAATTATTTCACGTGGTATATCTGAACACGATTGTCTTTCAACTATTTACAGCTATTTCTTTTTAGCTTTTAGAAGGGTTTGATATATTATGTGGTTAATTTATTCCAATAAGAGGGCCCCAAGGCCACGGGTCGGCATCGAACTGAACTAAAGACGGGTCTAAAACTGGTTCAATAACTATGTTGCTTATTTATTTTCATGCAGACAATTGCAAAAAGTCTGGAGGAATTTCATTGCCAACTCTCAAACGATATATTAGCTTCGGAAAACGATTTTTAAGAAATAATAAGTATTTTAATAAATAGTAAAAAAATAGAATTCCTGCGACACAGGATGTGTACGTAATGTAACTTTCTGTAACAAAAAAAGTTAGTTTAAAACTTCAATTAGAACTAATTACAAGTTAAAAACACTCACGTGTTGTGTTCTTTTTGGTGTCGATGTTGTCGTGTCTCGTGACCCCCAACTGGAAGGAGTCCGCCACGGTCTTGCTCGGCGTATAGCTGGAGAGCGCCGCCGACGCTGGGGGGAGGGGAGAACTAGCTTACTACATGTAGCTTACTCATTAACTACCAATGTGGATGAAACATTACATTGATTATACGTCAATGGAAACGACACTAGTATTTTATTGCTGTTTAGCGAAACATCAGGAACATGACAGATGTGATGGAAAACAAAAAAAAACAATATAGATTCCTATAACTATGGAAAAATATGGGAATTAGCTACAACTACAGTTAATTATATAACTTTTTTGTAACTTATCCATAAAATAACCGTTTTATACATGTTTTATATATTAACTTTGGTTTAGTCCAGAGATGTCGTTGATAATTATTATTCTGCCAATTGTTTACACGATATAACTCAAAATTCTACACGGATTATTGTATTGTGTGTACACCCCGTTTTGAAATTCGTCGATTTTATAGGTATTTCGCTTATTGTGAAACAAACAGACGCGAGTGAGATGTACTGATGTGGTTTTAAACAACAGTGAAGACAGCTCATATAGGTTTAGTTAAATAAATTGGGTCTTGGTTTTATTTTTTTTAATATTAGAGGGGGCAGACGAGCAGACGGGTCACCTCATCGAAAGTGACCATCCCCGCCCATGATCGTCTGTAACTCAGGAGCCACAAACGCGTTGCCTTTTAGGAAGGAGTACGCTCTTTTATTAAAGGTTTGAAGGTCGTATCGGTCCGGAAATACCGCAGACGATAACCCGTTGCACAGATTGGTTTGCGGGGCAAAAAGCACACAGTAGTGGAGCGCCAACTATCCAGGTAAAGAGGAAGAAAATTTTGGCGTGTGGAACGATGGCGGAAAGTTGCGAAAGATGATATATGCGATAGAGAATGCAGAGTGAAGCCACATCTCATCTGTTTATACAAACATATTTTATGTAAGTTATATTTACATAGGGCATCTCAATGTGACACATGTTTAGAATTTTCTCAGTAACTTCTTTCTTACGATAGAAGCTCGAGTAGTTTTCATTTCAGTAGAGACGGGCCTGTTGGTCTAGTGGTTAGTGACCCTGACTGCTAAACCGATCCCCACCCAATACAAATATGGTGTCATGAGCACGATCATTTATTCTGTGTCTGGGTGTAATTTATCTATAATATGTATATACTTTCTAAGGAGAGGCCTATGTTCAGCAGTGGACTATTAAAGGCTGTTGATGTGATGTGTGATGTGATGTATGTATTTAGAAATATATAAGTATGTTTATCAGCAGCCTGGTTACCATACCACAGGCTCTGCCTAGTTTGGGATCAGACCGTGTGTGAGATGTATTAGGTATACTATATTTAATAAATCTTATATATAAAATTCTCGTGTCACAATGTTAGTTACCATACTCCTCCGAAACGGCTGGACCGATTTTTATGAAATTTTGTGTGCCCATCGGGTAGGTCTGAGAATCGGCCAACATCTATATTTCACACCCCTAAATGACAAGGGTGAAGCAACCCCAATTGCCGCGTCATCTAGTATTTTATATATTTTAAATTAAATACTTAAGTCGTTTAGTGTTGGCAATACGCTTAATCTTTTTTTTTTTTTCTTTCTTTTTAAAAAAGACAACTCCCGCATTAGGGATAAATCCTGTGTCGCGGGGGACTTTACAAACATACATGAAACGGACACAAAGAACACCCAGACTTAGAACAACAATTTGTGGATCACACAAAGTGTCGTCCCATGTTTGAACCCACAACACTCGGCGCAGTAGGAAGCGGCGTGGCGACCGCTTAAACCACTACGCCATCCGTGCAGTCCATCTACATAACATATAATTTGACGATATGATGTGTAGGAGCGAATCGTGTGTGTTACATTAATCAATACTTAACACTTTATTTCATACTCATCAAACTCAGAGCCATCGTGACTGATATTAATGTGGGGTGAGGTACATTCAGTGGTGTATATCACTAGCTGGTGTGTACAACTGTTAGCAAAATCAAAGTCTATATACATTATAGTGTGTTTACACAAAAGTCTCATCAGACACGTAGAGCGGGAGGGACGCAGTGCGAACACATCGGAGGTGCGGGGGGCGTGGAGGGGGCGGAGGGCGAGGCGGAAGCGCCGGCGCTACCCGTATCGATACTCGTCTGTGGTATACTGGCGTTCAAAGTACAACGTTAATGCATTTTCTGAGACAAAAAACTTTTTTTTCTGTGCGGAAATCCCCTCGGATACCACGTACCGGTTGCTATGTCGGGCTCGAACCGACTAAAAACAGCACGCCGTCTTGGGTACCAGTAGCCGGGGAACCAGGTGTACCCTGGAAAGGAAATCCCTGGTACCCCGACGTACCTCGGGCCATCTACGGCATGTAGATGACCCCCTTCTATGTGGGAACCCCCATGTTCCCTTGGTGCTCCTAAACATGCAAAAAACCCTCTGAAATATACTCTATACGTAAATGAACTCCATTTAGGAGCGTTTCGCGACATCATGACATCTAATCACACATCGCACTAAGAAAGTCTGATAGAGACTTGAGGTCTTAAAGATAGAAGCGTCTGCAGTCGCAAAATTGTGAAGAATTCGATTCAGCTAAAAGGCGAAGCCAGACCTCGACATTATCAAAAACCAAGTTCATAACAATTATAATGACATGATTAACAATGAGTGTCGTGAGAATATCTGCATATCAGCAAACACTCCGCCATATTATTGTACAGGTGTGAAGTATTTTTTTATATAGTTGACCTTAACACACGTTAGCATCAAGTCTAATAAAACATTTATGCTTGTCAAAACGAATAGTGATTTACGTAACAAATTATTATAGAACAAGTATGCTTAAAATTAAAAAAGATACGTATCATATGTCAAAGAGCAAAGTGCGTTAATTATAAAAATACACATGCAAAATAAAATTATTGGTGTCCAAACATTCATATTAGCTAATATATACTATCTATTATTTGAGGAACTCAAGAAAACGTCAGTTGTTCAGGAGTAAAAAGCAGCTAAGGTGTTGTTCCAGACTACATTCTATATCTGGACACTTTTCCTTTAAATCTGTTCTGCCGTTTTCGTTCGATTAAGCACTAAACATTCATCCAAACTATCGCATTCATAAATCGTAGTACACAGTAATACAAATGCTTATCAAACAATTTGTGGCGAGTCAAAGGTGAAGTGTCAACAGTTGGGGACAGTTACGATTACATTACAAACAATTTATGATTGATTTATTTATTAAATGTTCAAGACATCAATTAATTAATTGACCCCAATACACAATAACATACACTATTAATTTATTGGAATCGGTTGAGCGGTTAGACGCTGTTTCATGGATGGAGAAATTTTAATATGTTCTCTATTTCTTGTTCTTTACTTAAGGTTTTAAGAGTTAACAGTACAACTAGTATTCTGTTTTGTAACCGGAGATTTTGATTGTGCTACCGCATCAAAATTGTATGGCCTTTGTGTATGATTACAGTATCGCAATAGCGCTATTCATTTAGAAAATAACCCGTTTATGGCTTTATATTTTATGTATTTACTGCTAGTTGTACACTAAAAACAACTTTGTACGGTAATGCACTTGTGTTATCACATTTTCAGGGAGATATAGGGAGAGACGACTCGCGCACAGACACGGAGTAGATTCAATGTCGAGAAGCACTTCAAGGCCCCGCCCCGGTCACATGCTGTCTCTATGGTAAGGTTGTGTTCAGAGACAGGAGGAGCTCGTAGCGACAACTATTTAAATTAACCTTTGAAGTGTGTGTGTTCTGAGCTAGGTCAATGTGAAACACTTAGAGATACTCCACATATTTTTTTAGAAACATATTCAAATGATAGTATTTTGTAACTTACTGATGCTTTTTTAGGAATTTCAACGAGCGATTCTTCCTATTTGTGATCTATGTTTATCATTTAAACATAATAAATACTCTGTATATACGGATTCTTCCAATGAATACACGTTATCTATACAAATAAATAAAATTGGAGTGTTTGTTTGTAATATTAAAATAATCGCTTTTTACTAAATGCATATGTATGTTTACACGGTACATATGCCAAAATAATATTTTTTACCATTTTTGTCTGTCTGTCTGTTTGTTCCGGGTAATCTCTGGAACGGCTAGACCGATTTCGACGGGACTTTCACTGGCAGATAGCTGATGACATAAGGAGTAACTTAGGCTACTTTTTTTAGACTAGCTTCTAACATCAAACGCGGGTAACACCGCGGGTCTCAGCTAGTGTTTAAATAAACCTGGTATTCCTTATGTAAGTATGAGTCCATTACGTTAGTAGTTTCCTGACTCTTTAAATACCTAATTATATTTAGTACAATTTAAAAAGACACGATTTTAGTTTTAGATTTGTTGGTCCAAACGTAAAAGTTACAAATTACAAAAACTTTAGTGAGGATGATTTGTAACAATTGAATAACTGACGTAGAAAACATTGGTTAAGTAACATTTCATTCAAGTATCTTACAAAGATATCTGATCTAAACTATAAACCTAGCAGCGAGGATTGATAATTATAAAGGGGTTATATTTAGAGTTAGAAAGACTTAGTCGTTAGAAATATTATCCGCTCCCCTTGCCAGTCAGTAGTCCGTTATGGAATTCTAAGGTTTTACATTATTCAACCGCAGCAAATGATTATTGCTTCTGTTACAGGAGAGTTTCATGCCAGTAAGGAAACGTGGAGTTTTCTTGTGATTTTGACGACTTGTTTACAAATAGTTCGATCCATGGTTAGACCGTTTGCGCAGATATGCACTCTCAATTGTCCAATAAATTAAATATCGTGCTAGTAGAAAAGAAAATATTATTTAGCTTTCAGATTATGATAATTTTGATGTTAAAAGATGTGTCGAATAGAACATTGTAGTGTTTGCATTTCGTATCGTAGGATACTTTTAAAGAATAGCGTACCTATATGCGTGTTGGCGGCGAGCGGCGCGTGGTGTGCTGACTCGGCCAATTGTGGCGAGTGCGCAGCGTCGTTCGCTGGAGGAGGAGTTGAGGGAGAATCCTCGCAAAGTGATATTTCCGACGGATACTCGAAGGTGCGGGTGAGAGAGTCGTCGAATTGTAGCTTCAGCTGGAAATTAGGAATGGTAATATTGTAAGATAGTTTGGAAATTGATCATTTAATAGTATAAATATAAGTACATATAATTAAAAGAAAAATGAGCGAGCCCAGCAGTAGCATATGTTCATATGATTTGTGACATTTGACATCTCACCTCCAATCAAATGGTCAACTCTATCATCGTTCATTGGTTAAATCAAATATCGCGCGCTTTTCCGGTTTCCTGTTACACATTTCCGTTCTTTTCTATGGAACCACTCCCACAGGTTGGAGGAAAGCGAGATCGATGTAACACATGATAAACTTTGCACTTAGGTGTAACCGGGAAGTGATCTCTCTTAAATATTGATGGGGCAATAAATAAATATTGCTTTCAGGTGCATGTACATTTTTTTGACACTTTGCTGGACTTCTGGTAACTTAAATCGCTCGGTGATTTTTTCTATAAGGCTGTGGAATCAATAGGTCGAGCCAGTTTCACGATTTCTGACCAAAAAATGACTCTGGATTCCTCGGAATCAGATAAAAATAGTATGTCTTACTTATATTGTCTTTTAGTTTCTACATGTTAAATAATAATATCTTTGTGTGTGTCTACTGGTTGACTAATATTAATATTCAGTTCACAGGCTTGTCTTGCTGACAGCCAATAAACCGACCAATTTCTGCGAATATTTTCTTGTGAATCAGACGCAATGGAATGCCACCCGACGGTATTCAGTTTAGTGTGCAAGTATCAATGTAGTACAATAGTGACGTAATGGTGGGCTGCGCCGGCGCATTGGCCAGCGACCGCGCCACGGACCAAAGAGCACACGTGAAGGCCCTCCGCGAACACCGAGCACCACGCGGAGACAATGATCACTTATGATAAGGCTTTCGTTTTGTTGAAACTAATAATTATTGTGGTTAGTACCGGCAACAAACAGTATTGTTATAATTTCATATAAACATGAAATGTTGGTTTGGTTTTAGATGATATTCGAATAAACTAGAGCTACTTTTATGCTGAATATTTTAATGTCTTGAGAATCTTTTTTTTCCGACTTAAAAAAAAAAGATTCACGATTCCCATTCTAACCTATTCCTATTCATATGAACACGATTCCTCGACGCCTGGCAGTCTTAAGTATACATTTATGTCATTTATACAACCACATAACATGCCTAACGATAACGGCACTCCCATGCTGCAAAATTTCCTGAGACGGCATGACTCAGGCTAACCAGAAAATAATACCTACTAAGATTATGTGATAGGACCTCACTAAATCTAGACTGTGTGAAGCAGTTGGATTACAGGATTACACTGAGAACTTTAAAGTGGATGCCAGCTCTATTCACAGCAGGGGAGATCCAGCCCCCAACCTTATTCCGTGTTAGACTATAAGACTATTCCTGGCTGGAGATCATTCCATTGATTTTGGAACTTTAGTTATGATCAATAAAAAACCGCGATAAGACAAAATAAGAAATAAAATCTTTAAATATTACGTCTCGCATTTACTCAAAGGATTAAAATCAAAACTCTAAGTATATATAACTAGACATTGATCGTATGTGGTTGATGTCGAGTCGGTATCAAGTGTAAGTGCGTGTCGGAACCGGTATTAATTGATCCGTTCACGATAATGACCGCGGCGATGCGGCCGGACGACTATCGCCAGCCGGCGACACATCGCCAGGTACGTTCACAAGCTCGAGCGATGATGGAACTGGTTTAATGTTGTTTGAAGCCTCATCTTATTGTCCCTAGTTTCCTGCCAGCTGAGACTTGTCAGATGTGTAGGACTTACTTACTTTTGTAACTATAATACCATAAAGAAACATAAAAATAATAGGGGAACAAAACTAAATTAAAGTGAGTTGTACTATCCACTGCCTGGGTACATCACCAGACTAGTGTAATATGTTGCATACGTCAAAACAAGTAATTTGGTAAAAATCGAGAGGGTTCAGGTGACCTCACTCACTTGGTGACGAGAGAATTGCTCAACACCGTGGTATCACTCCTAACAAGCAGACCCATTTATACGACGCATGGCTCTCCCATCTGCAACTCTTGTAATCCATCTCAATCAACATCAGTAAGATTAGTCTCGGTACTGGTTCGTTCTTTCTTCTACGATCTTCTGTATAATAATAAAGTATTTCTGACTCACCTTGGCTACACGATCCTTATTAGGTTTCCCAGGCATCGAGGACTTGCCGTTGATGAGCACGTTGTCGTTAATGAAGCGCACCGTGCACGGTGAGGGCGGGCCTCCGTCCGTTTCTGTCTCGGAGTCAGAGTCGGACCGCACCAGCGCCTCGGGCCGGAGGACCACCACGCCAGGCTCACCGGGCTATAAGGAAAAAGAGTTACAGCGTTAAATATATATACAATTGATTTTATGGGAGATATGCCTATTTAATCATCTTTATCAATCATTATTTAATGGTAATGGCTTAGTCAGAGTTTGTTTTAGGGTGCGGCAAAACCAGGAAAATAGGTTTTATGACTGTGCACTTGGACAAAACTAGGCTACAAATTATTGTGCATTGGCCATAGTTTTAGTATATCATTTGACAACCACTTTAGCAATTATACAAGAAATAAAACCACATATAATGTGTACGGGAAGTATTTGAATATATTGTATAATTCTGTTAATTAGCGGACACTACCATTTAAAAAGGTAGATATGCAATTAAGCTGCTTGTAGTTGTTGGTACAATAAAAATGGCCGACATTAGCAATTTCACGACTCAATGTTGACGTGACTGTTATCATAGCGGACCAATTACATTTATACTCGGCAAAAACTCTAATAGCTCAGTTCGGGATTAAATGCACTTTTTATCAACCAGTAGTTACGAGTAAATACATGACGACAAAAATTTGTTTCTTTTTGTAAAGCTGCACCACAACAAACTTAATGTACCATCAGACGATTTTAATTTAAAAAATAACGTGCCGTAGAGATGTGGCTTCACTCTGCATTCTCTATCGCATATATCATAAGAGAGTGCCCCGAGGCCATAGTTCCACACGGCAAAATTTTCATCCTCATCACCTGGATAGTTGGCTCACCATGACTGTGCGCTTTTCGAAACACTTTTTGCCCCGCACAACTAATCTGTGGAACGGGTTATCGTCTGCGGTATTTCCGGACCGATACGACCTTCAAACCTTCAAGAAAAGAGCGTACTCCTTCCGAAAAGGCCGGCAACGCTATTGTGACACCTGAGTTGCAGACGTTCATGGGCGGCGATGGTCACTTTCCATCAGGTGACATAACCATCTGTTCGTCTGCCCCTCACTCATAAAAAAAAACAGTGCATTCAGCAAATAAATATACTCACATCTAGTCTACATTTTGGTAACCGTAATTTTAGTCCCGCTTACCTAATAGGGGGAAGCCTTTGTCGTCAACCTATAAAGGAATTAAATTTGGGAAAAGAGTAAGCATGGATCCCATAACTCGAATAGTCTTTTCTCAAGTTCTTCGAGCCCTGTACCCGACATTCGCATTCAACAATTCATTTAAAATTAAGTTTGTTCACCCGTAGAATGCATTAACAAGTCCACAAATCTCAAGCTGTAGTTCTTACAACTCTTATTTCTATTCCATAACTGAGATCAAAATTACCATCTATACGATACAGTCCGCAGATATTTGTGTTTGGAAAATCATTAATGAAATGAAGAAGCATCAATTGCTACATTCCTTATTTTGTTAAAAGACAACTTCCGCATTAGGAATATATCCTGTGTCGCGGGGGACTTTAGAAACATACATCAAACGAACACAAAGAACACCCAGACTCTGAACAACAATTTGTGGATCACACAAAGTGTCGTCCCATGTGGGATTTGAACCCACGACACCCGGCGTAGTAGGAAGCGGCGTGGCGACATCCGTGCAGTCAATTACTCCTATTGTTTTGTAGATACAGAGGTTGGCTGATAGTCATAGCTTTCAGTTTTAAGACCATCGATTATACTAACATTTTGAAAGTTTTTTGGTAGTTTAAAGTAACGAATGTACATCTGGGATGTTCTGTATAATTCGCCATATCGCAGCACGGTCGATTCGTTCGGCTCGTTAGAGACAATCCGCCGTGGTATGGTGGTAACGCATATTTATTATCGCATTTTACTGTTACGTAAAGGGTTCCAACAAAGCATCGGAAACAATGCAGTAATAAAAAGGCGCGTCTGAACAGAGGTTTAATTACAATTGCACGGGTGTTACAAAAGCGCATTTATTACAATACCGCCAGCATATTTATGTTGATCACTAAACGAGGACAGCACGTTCGGATGTATTGTTCTATTTGTGACTAGATAAGTTGTCAAATAGAAAAATGTACCATAATGTTTACAAAAATAAACCACTTTTTAATATTCTATCGTTGATAAGAAAATGGTTTAATAAAGTAAATCTTCATTCCTTAATTTTTCACCTCTAGGGTTGGTACTTCTTCAAGTTTGAATGGGGCCAAACTGGATATATACACTCCACAAACAACAGAGTGCAGACGTAACAAACAAAAAAATACAACCGAATTGAGGACCTTTTTTTTCGTGAGTTAACAATAGAAAATATATAAAGTGATACTGAGATCTTTGGTTTATATTCAAATAATTTATCTAATAAAACATCCGTGTGGTGACGGATTAAGAATACAAATTGTCACCACCCCAATTCATCCCGTGGGTGTCGTATGAGCCGACTAAGGGAGCAAACTAAGCAGGACAACAGCACTGCAAAGAGAAGGAAAACTTGAAACAAACCCTATACCAACCCGTCTGGCCAGCGTGGTATAGTAGGCCAAAACCTTCTTTCTAAGGAGAGGCCTATGTCCAGCAGTGGACTAGTATAGGCTGTTGATGATGATGATGATCTAATAAAAATCTATGACAAGAAAAAAGCTAAAGAAAACAAGTAAACTATACAAAATAATATAAGTTACAGACGGACTGAATCATCTATCTCATATTCTGTTAATAAAAGATCAAATCCAGCTCTCATTAAAATTGAATGTGTGTGAATACAATACAATCGTCCTTTGTAAAAAGTACAAAGATCGTTCGTAATAAAAGAGTCCAACACTATAACCCTTTGTTTACTATCTGACTTAATCAATGAAGTGAAAAAAATATTATAATTTTTAGTTTATTCTCCTTTAAATTAGTCAGCTTTAATGGACACTCGTATATTTAGTTCAGTTCTCATCAGCAGAATGCAACAGAGAAATCATTTATTTGTCACTTCACCCGACGAGTGTTGACCAAAACGAGTCGTGCAACATGTGAATGATTGCCGTCGGAATCTGGTCGGGTGTCCGGTGACCGTGACGGGATAGCGGCCAGCGCCCGCCGGCACGACTCGCCGACGGGTTCAAGGGAACCTGAACAGGGGCTCGATGCTTTACGACTGCGTGAAAGGAATTAACATTTGTGGTCTTTTATTGCGCACAATTGATGAAATATTTAGAATTTCATTCACAAGAATGTGACGGTAAGCAAAGCTGTTTGCAAGAAATATTTTCTAGTATATCAAAAGATGTTTGTTCGCGTTATTTAAGACAGAAACTAGGTCCTTTCGAGTTATTCGAAATTAAAAAATAAGTCATTGATATTAATTGAACCGAATCTAGGTCTTTTTGCAAGAAACTAGAAGAATATAAATATATTTTTTTATTCTTGGTTATATTTCTTTTAAGTGAACGTTGTGTGTGTGAACGTAAACATGAGGACAATGTGAGGTAACGGCCCATCTTATAGGGTATTCCTAGAAATTATTGCTATGTATATTTTTGTTTCACATAATAATAGTAATAAATAAAACTTATTTTCTAGTGAATCTGCGATCAGCATTACAGACTTTGAGAAGAGGCGCTAGTCTTTATCACAGTTCGATAATGACCTCCAGTGAGGGCATCTCCTTATCCATTTAGTCATAATAATAAACAGAACTGCTTTTTAACATTTTATTTAGTTATGACCCCAAGACCTGGCTTTAAACGCTTCGATTGTCTAAGGATTGTAGTTTAGATGGGGGCGATTCAACTCAAGCAGGCTCTGGTCAGTAAAGATGAATGTTTTTTAAGATACTTGGACAAATATTCTCTATCCAATATCCGTGTTTTAATGTAATCAAAATCCTTTTAAATCGGTACATAACAATACGATGCTAAATAACATGGCATGAAATTGTAACGGTGAAACAATGCCTTGGTAAGCGTGAGAATTATTAACTGAGTTCTGATCAAAGTTCATTGCGATGGTCGTATTTTAACATGGAAGGAACTTGACTTGTTACTATTTACTTTTCAGAATTTTTATTTTTTTGTCTATTTTCATAAAAATATACATTTAAAAGTGTTTTTAAAGTAGATGTAGTTAAAACAAAACCCACATTACGAAACGAATATACATTCAAGACTTGTGAATGAACCGCCCTCTTTGATGTACCTACTGCAATTTCAGTTTCATTTCTCCTTCCAAAACGTATTCATAACAGAGCCTTTTTTTTGTGCGGAACATTGGATACAAGCCATTAGTTGTTATGTCAGACTCTGAGCGACTTAAACCGCACGCCATCTCAGGTACCAGTAGCCGGGGAACCAGGTGTACCCTAGGAAGGAAATCCCTGGGACCCCGGGCCATCTACGGCATGTAGATGACCCCCTCGTGTGTTGGAACCTCATTATTTATTATATTTTATAAAATTATTTATCATTATACATATATATTATATTATTTATTATTATACAAATAAGCCTATTTCGTTTCTTCAATCTGAAACGTTGTGATCCTAACACAAAACTTTAGGTATTCCTAGTTATTTTTAAAGAATAGTTTATTTATGCCGTATGAATATATTTCCCGCTGATTTTATAAACAACAAGTACCTAATTAAAATTGTTATTGTATTGTTATTAACAGGAAAATAAATCTTTATTAGTGTTAAATAAAACGAGTAAGTACTATATTTTATGTAACTTGACTGTATGAATAATGGTATTATCGCGCGAGCTATATTCAGACGCAAACTTTTAGCTCTCATCAACGCGTCCTATTTTCTGATTGATAACGTATATTGTGGCCTGTTTCCTGTTTGGTCATGTACTCGTCCCTACTATGTGAGTTGACACACAAAGACTAGCCTTTCAACGAGTCTCTTCAATTGACACGTATGTTGTGCAGCTGTTGACTGGGCAACCATGATTAATAAATAAAATAATAGATCAGAAATGTAGTTGTTTGTTAGTCAACGATAATCGATGTGTTTATTAAACGAATAGTCGACAATCTGACGATTACTCGTTTCGTTGTCGCCAATGAGAATTGTTT